CGGGCAGGCATGCGGGGGAGGCAGCAGCGGCTGGCTGGCAACGGTGGCGGCAGGCGGGCGGGCGGCCAGGCGGGCGCACCCGCGTCCATCAGGTTGCCAAAGAACTTCCAGCCGGTGGGCGTCTCAAAGAACTGCAGGCCCAGCTTCTCCGCCACGCGGTCCAGGGCGCCGCTGGTGGGCATGGAGCGCGCCACGCCCTGCGGCAGGGGAGACGGGGCAGGGGCAGGCAGGGAGCGGGTGGGGCAGCAGCAGCAGGTTGGGACGCCGCATGCGCAGCCGTCGTGCGCAGCCGTGCTGCCAGGCTCGGGTGCAGACGGCGCTCCTCCCCTCTTCCTTCCCCCTAGCTGTCGCCCTGCACACAGCCGAAACCAGCCCACCAAGCAGCCCCGCGTAACTGTTGCACGCACCTTGAGGCCGTCCTTGAAGTAAGGGATGGCTGCCTGGGCGTTGGCGGCGATGACGGCGACAGAGTCGGAGGGGGTGACGAAGAAGTGGCTGCCCAGCACCATGTTGCGGTCGCCGTCGCCGTCTGCGGGGGGGGCACGAACAGGGGGAGGCAGAGCGAGGCAGGCAAGGTCAGGAGGAGCAGCAGCAGCAGCCAGGTTGGGCAGATGACGTGGACACGCTGGCAGGCATCGGCAGGTGCACAACGCCCGGCTCGGCCGTCGCCGCTGCTGCTCGCACATCAACATCCACCCGCAAGCCCCCCCCTGCAAAGCCGCCAAGCCCGCCGCCTGCGCGCACCCGAGGCTGCTCCCAGCACCGGCGCGGCGTCGCTCCACATGATCTCCACCAGGTCGTGAGCGTAGGTGAGGTTGGGGTCGGGGTGGCCGCCGCCAAAGTCCTCCAGCGGCACGCCGTTGCGGATGCTCTCCTGCCGGGCAGCGGGGCCAGGCGGGGGGCCCGATGCTCAGCCGGCGCGTACATGCATGGCTGTGCAGCGCAGGGCCAGCCAGCAGCCATCAGCGGAGCAAGCTGGCACTTGCGGCGTGACTTCTCCGGCGCGCGACCGCCCACATCCGCACCCCCAGCTGCCGGGCCTCTCACCGGCTTGCCGCCCAGCTCATCCACAAACAGGGGCCCCGCGTAGGCTCCCGTGACGGCGTGCAGGGCGTCAAAGACGAAGGTGAAGTCGGCGCGGGACATGAAGGCGCGCAGGGTGGGGAAGTCAAACACCTCCTGCGTGGGGCAGGGCACAGGGGGAACACAGAGGAGCGCGATGAGCAGAGGGAGCATGCTGAGCAGCACCGGCGCGTGAAGGGGTCTGCTGGCGTGCATGCACGCCCGGGGGGGGGGGGCTTCGCTCCTCGTGCCGGCTGTCACAGCACGCCCCGAGGTGCGCCCCTCCGCCTCCCCTTCCCAGCACACACGCAGGCTGCGCGTCCCCACTCGAGCGAGCGCACCTTGAGCGTGGCAAAGTACTCTGCCGTGTAGTCGACCACCTCCACCTCGAAGCTGCCGACCTTGGTGGTGCCCACCTTGGACAGATCCACGTCGGGGATGTCGGCCATCTGCGGGGAAGGGGGGGTGCGGGTGAGGCCAGGTGGGCAGGGCAGGGCCAGGCCAGGCAGGCAGGAAGGCAGGCGCTGCGGTACACATCACAGCATGCGGCGGAGCAAAGCCGCCCCTCCTGGCGCTGCTGCGATGCGGTAGCAGGGCTGCTGCATGCCCCGCAACCCAGCGCACCTTGAGCTCCGAGATGGTCTCCGTGAAGCCGAAGATCTTGTCTGTGATCTTCTCGGGGGCGGGCTCGCCGGCGGAGTAGTTGAACTTGATGCCCCAGTCCTCCTCTGGGGGTAGCGGGAGTGGAGCGGGCGGGGAGGACAGACACGTTGGGGCAGGGCAGACCGATGCATGCCGGCCGATGTGTGCAGGCACCGATGGGGAACTGCAGCGTCGCAGACAGCTGGCTCTTTTGTGCTGTCCTGCAGCGCCAGCAGTTGCTGCCACCGCCGCAGCCTGCAATTTCCACTGCCGCCCCGGCTGCCACCTGCCCGGCTGACCACACTGGTCCGTACCCGCCGCTCACCTGGGCCGCCCGGGTTGTGGCTTGCGCTCATGATGAGGCCGCCGTACAGCCCTCTGCGGCGGATGAGCGCCGACATGGCGGGGGTGGCCATGATGGCGTCCTTGCCCACCACCACCTTGGCCACGCCGTTGCCCGCCGCCAGCTTCAGGATGGTCTGCACCGCCTCCTTGTTGAAGTAGCGGCCGTCGCCGCCCACGCCGATGGTCGTGCCCACCGCCTCCTCGCCCAGCGCGTTGAACAGGGACTGGATCCTGCAGGGCAGGATGGCAGGGCGTGGGCTGAGCAGGCCGGGGTCGAGAGCTGGTAGCTGCCTGCCTGACCGGTGTTGGGACCAGCGAGGCGTGGTGCAGCAGCCGGCGTGCCTCACCAGTTGGCCAGGTAGTTGTCGCTCATGAACACCTTGGTTTTCTTCCGCAGGCCCGAGGTGCCCGTCTTCTGGCCCTCAATAGGCTTGGTGGGCACACTGGTCACGGTGAAGCCCTGGTGGGTGGGCGGGCCAAGCGGGCGGCGCCAGCGAACCTGAGCGGCGGCGTGCGTTGAGAGCCGCAGCTGCGATCGCCCAGGGCGGCTCCACAGCCCCCGCAACCAGTCCTCTGGCTGACTTCCTCGCGCAGAACGTGGCACAAAACCCCAACCCCTCTTCATCAGGTGCTCGCGTCCGACTCACCTCCATCTGGGCCACAGCTGCGACCTGGGCGGTGGTGGAGCGCTGGATGGCACGAGCTTGACGCCTGGAAGCGGTCTTGAGCGCGCTGGCGGCCTTGCCAAACTGGGGTGCAGCGCAGGCTCTGGACAGGAGGGCAGCACGAGTGGGACGGGCTTCTGGCAATGCAGGCAATTGATCCGAGGCATTCCCAGGATCGCAAACGGCTGGGTGTCAATGCACCCAGCGCCTGCTGTGCCGTGCTGGTCAGAGCACGGCAGGGCGGTAACCCCGAGCCAAGGAGCCGGCATAATGCGGGACATGCCCCATAGCGTGTCGGGCAGCAGCACGGGCCCTGGGGAGGCCACATGGCCGGGGTGTCGACTGAGACCTCGCACCCTGCAGCGATCCCGGCGCTGAGGCTGCAATGTATGGCAGCATCAGCGGCACCACACCTGGAAGAACGGGGTGAAGGGGCTGCTGCAGCGGTATGTGGTATGCACCGCTGCAGGGCTGTGAGGCTGCCCATGACAGAGCAGTGCGAGGGTGGGGAAGCGGCACGGGAAGCGCAACGAACCACACTCGATGTGGCAATCGAGGCGTGCCATGCATCAGAGGGCGGTACATGGTACAGATCATCCTTGTTTTCCGCGCATTTTCCTACACTGCCGACCTTTGGAAATTCTATAAACTACTGTTATGAAGCATCAGCCCCCGTTTCCGCAACTCCAACTTGACCCCATGAGCAATGCCGGCGGTGTGTGCGCAGTGGCTCGCCTGCCGGTTGCAGACTCAGCGCAGCACTTCCCCTACGCTGGCCTTGCTGGCCTCCATCCTTGCCGTGGCGACGCCCACGTCCCTGCCCTGGCGACGCCCATGGGCGACCCGCTGCCGGCAGCGGCAGTGGGGGTATCAGAAACTAAACCCTCTACCAAGCTGTGGAGATGGGGGTCCTTGCAGAGCTGGTCAGCAAACCTGGCTTCTTGACCATGACGGCGCAGGGCCACACAACGCTGTTGGTGCGGGGCTAGCTGAACACCGCCGGGGTGTGCCGCCAGCCCTATCAGCAAACGGCATTTGCACCTCAGGATCACAACGATGGAAGCATCGCAAAAAGTGGGAGCATCAGGTAGGCAGCAGAGGGCATGATGTTGTGCTGTGCTGCGGTCGGCAGCAAGGCACAGGTGGGGTGCGCAGCTGGCTGCCGCTATGCGCTGTGCAAGGATGGGGCTGGCTGCATGCAATCCGCCCTTCTGCTCACTGGCCACTGCTCACGGCAACTACCTTTGCCTGGCTGCTTCTCTGTGCTGCAGTCAAGCCTCGAGGGCGCGGTAGAGGGCGCTGGGCAGGTGGCCATAAGGCAGCGGGCGGTAGCGAGGCACAGGTGGGTGTGCAGCTGGTGGGGAGCCTTCCGACTCGTTTCCCCCAAAACTGGCTACATAGTCGGTCTCTACACCCTCATAAACGACAGGAGGGACATTCTTGGACCATTTGGACAGGTTCAACATTTTGGGATGGGCCTTGGCAGGGCGTCGAACCCTGCCGAGAGCCCCTACCGACAGCACCCCACTTTTTTTGATCCTCTCCAAACGGGACAAGAATGCTGCCCCTGCTGTTTACGAGGGCATTGGGCATGGCTGTGAAGTCGGTTCGGCCAAATTCAGGATGCTCAGCCCTGTACTGCAGTACTGCTGCGCCGCTGCAGGGCTGCCTGCAGCCGTCTTGTCCAGGCGGATCACCCCTGCCTGCCCTCTCTTCCCGCAGGGCTGCTGAAGTGCGGACCATGCAGCAACTGCAAGCCATTCAGTATAGTCATGCAGCAGAGGTGGCAGCGTAACCTCATTGCCAGGTTGGGACCCAGCAGCAACCTCGATATGGCGTGTCAAGCCACGTTTCTGAGGAGGGTGCTCGGCCAGGAGGTGCTCCTGCTGCGGCATGAGGCTGCTACCAGCTCCATGCATTGAGATGTGTTCAGCTGTTGTTTGCCCAACCCGGCATCCTGCCCGCAGATGTGCCTTGGATGCCACCGGCCAAGTGAACGCATACCGCTGGCCGGCTTGCGCTGTTAGCGCACCTGATCTGTTTGGCCGCTCGCCTATTGACCCCCCCCCGCCCACGCGCTCATCCACTGGATCAATGGCTTTGCGGCCCCATCATTGGTGCCAGCAGTACAGTCCGGAGGATTCTGTAGCGACAGCAGCAGCAGCAGCAGGCAACGGTCGCTGCGCCACCGGCGCAACTGCAGCAGGCAGCCTCAAGCTGGCTGCAAACAGCGGGCCTGCCCTGCCTGGGGTCGTGGCGATTTTTGCCCAGCCAGGGGACGCAGAGGGACGCATGTCATGCCACCGCTGCTTCAGCCTACAGCTGCTGCTGTGGCACAGGCCCAGATGTGTTTGCAATTGCTGTCGGGCGTGGTGCATTCTGCGCCATCCACTGCATCCTGGCGGCGGGCGCGTCCCAGCGGCGCAGCCTCGCCCGCCGCCTGGTGCCCCGCTTGCTGCTCTGCCGCCCCATTGATCATGTCCATCCCACTATGCTGCCAATGATTCATGTAATGTGGGATTGAGTAGGGGATGCATGGGAGGAGCAGCCTCCCTGATGCTGTTGACCAGCACAAGTGCAGCCGCACGGCTGCCAGCCCAGGGCACAGCCAAGTGCTGGGGGTTGCCCCCCGGTGCAAGTCCCCCCAGCGCTGCACTGAACCGCCTGCCCTCCAGTCTGAACATCTATGTCGCATCCGAGAGCTGAAATTGAGCAAGCCAGGCTACTGCGCAACAACACTGCGCGGCTGGGCATGGTGCGGTCCACCAGGCTACAAGAGCGGGGGCCCAGTGCGTATGAAAATGACCCCAAGCATATGTATTAATAGCGAAAAGTGGAGCTGTGGCGCGGCGAGACGTGTGGGCGAATGCGCGGAGACAGGTCTGTACTGTCAATCTGCATCAACCTGAGCTGCCCCTGCCCCTTCTGCTGGGCAAGGGCTCACGGCGTACGCGAGGACGCGCAGGACCAATTGGGGCGTGTTGATTTGTCAGGCATCGTCCATTGGCTGTGTTTGTGCGCACGGACGCTCTCCCGCAGCCATCACCCGACTCCATTGGCCAGCTGCTGGCTGATGAGCAAAGGTGCGCAGGGAGGGATGCGTACATGAGATGGCATGCCACTCAGGATTGTCAGCCGCGCTACCGGGGCCCGCGATGGTCTTCACAAGTATGTCCAAGTGCAGGTCCTTCACTGCCTCCCTGCGCTCGGTTTCTGACAACCCCGATGCCGCAGGCGTGAGGTTTGCCGAGTCCGCCAGCCTCCCCTCCCCTCCCGCCGCCGCCGCCAGGGCCATTGCCGCCCACACCAACAGCATCACACTTGCCTGCGGGCCAGAGGTTCTGGACATCAAGTTTGGCTTCCTGCTGCTGTCTGGCATCTACACCACGGACCTGACCCTCGATTGGCCCGTGCCAGGCGGCCAGCAGCAACAGCGGCAGCACCCCGCTGGCTCTGCGGCCACACCCCCGCCGCAAGTGCGCGGCCTGACCGCCAGCAACCTCTCGGTGGCTGTGGAGCCGGGAGCCGCCCCCGGGCAGCAGCGGCTGGTGCTGCGGCTGTGGGCCGATCGCGAGGGACCCTTTGAGGAAAGGTTCGCCCTCGGCCTGCCGCCAGGTCAAGAGGTGCGCCAGGCAGGCACGGCTCGGGGTCCGTTGCACGTGCCCGTGCCCGCCCTCCTACCCTCGCGCGATGCCTGCTCACGCATCTGCCAGGAACCCTGGCTTTTCCCCGCACCCGCGTGCCGCAGGTGGAGGTGTGCGTCACCGCCACCGTCTTGTCCCGCAAGAAGGGCACCCCCGGCCTGAAGCCGCACGTTCACCTGCTGGGTTTCAGCGCCGACACCGACACAGAGGCCGCCTCAGACTGGCAGGGCTTTGCCTAGCGAGCCACCTGCGGCCAGCCAGGCAAGCCAGACAGCGCCACGGAGCAGCAGCTGTAGCAGCGGCGGCGCCTCAGCAGCTGGCAGGAGCTGCCGCTGCGCAGCCCCAGCCTGTGCTCGGCGTTTCATGCGGCGAGTTGCTGCCTGTGTGAACAGCAGCATGCAGTCGCTAGCAGCAGCAGGTACTGGCGGCATTGCTGCGGGCTTTGGCAGCCAGCCGGCTACTGCAAGCTGCTCTGGCCAGCCCAGCGGCAGCTACAGCAGCTCCAGCGCCGCCGGCCAGCATGCGCACAGTGTGCAGCATATGCGCCAGCGGACGCCACCACAGCAGCAGGGCAGCCTTGGCAGGCCTGTGGCGCCTGCGGGCTGTGTCTGGACCTGCAGCAGCCTCGCCAGGAGGCGCAGGCTCATGTCGGTGGCGGCCGCGGCTGCGGCCAAGCCAGAGCTGGTGGCAGAGGAGGCAGAGGCCCTCTGGGAGCCTGTGCGCCGCTGCAGGCGCCTGCCTACCAATGACGAGGTGGCAGTTCCCGCGTTCCCATTTGGGACGCCGTTGCAGCAGGACATCACGGATCTCGAAACCCAGCAACCTGCGCTGACAACCCGCGGCGAAGCGGAGGCGGCGCCGCTGCCTGCGCTTGCCATGCCCGCCGCCCTGCAGCCGCCGCTGCCAGCCAGCCAGCCCTTCCAGCTGCCGGTGCCCAATCTGGGGTACACGTGCCTGAACCTGCAGCTGCAGCAGCAGCACGGCTACCGCACCAACAGGTCTGGCCCTGCACGAGTGCGCCTCCGCCGCCCTTCTACCTCCCTCCCCTGTACTCCCCTCCTGCCCACGGCCACCGCTGTGCTGCACCCTGCCCTGGCCACTCCACGGCCCGCCTGCCTCCCGCCGCCCGCTGCGCAGGTACTGCTGGCGGCGCACGTTTGAGGCGGGCGGCCTGCCGCTGGTCAGCCGCCTGGCGCTGTCCAACTGCGCCGACCTGCTGCCGCTGGTGGAGTGGAACGCGGCGCACGCCATCCACTTCTTCCGCATTCCCTCCGCCCTCTTCCCCTGGAGCCACGAGTACGAGCTGGAGGAGCTGCCGGGTAGGGGGCTGGGCCAGGGGCGGGCGGGTGTGGTGTGGGGCCGGTGTCTGTGTGGTGAGATGTGTGCGGGGTACAGTGCCGCTGCAAGGTTTACCGCCGCATTGTGTGCATGCCAGGGCCGGGGCCGGCCAGTGAAGGAATTTTATATTTGGAATTACCGGCTGATCAAGCCATGAGGAGAACTTTGGCTGTTGCTGAGGCCTGGCTCCCTGCCCCTGCCATGCATCTGCCTGCTTGACACGCACGATGTGCATGCTGCCGCTTCCCTGCCGCATGCTGCTCCCACTCCGTTACAAAGCCCATACGAAGCTACACAATTTGCTTAAAGGTTCTTGGCTGGCGTGCCTGGGGTGCAGACTATGAAGAGATTGCGGCCACGCTGGCGGCGGTGGGGGCGGCGGCGCGCTCGCACCACCAGCGCCTCACCGCCCACCCCTCCCACTTTGTACAGCTGGCATCCCCCGACGAGGCGCTGCTGGCGCGCAGCCTCAGGCACCTGGAGCTGAATGCGCGGGTGAGGCAGGGTGGGCGGCGTGGGCTGGTGGGCTGGTGTGGTGCAGCAAGGTCGCGGGGTGGGGCTTTGTGTCGAGGCCTCCTCCCCCCGCGCGCCGCGCCTCCGCCGCCTGGCCAACCCCGCCTGCCCCGCCGCTGCGCCTGCCAGGTGTTTGACCTGATGGGCTACGCCCCCAGCCACGCTAACAAGATCAACATCCACATCGGCGCCACCCACGGCAGCAAGCAGCGCTCGCTGCAGCGCTTTGCGGCGGCGGTGGGCCGGCTCAGCGACTCGGCGCGCTTGCGGCTAACAGGTGGGCGCGCCGCCGCGGCCGGCAGAGGGCAGTTGCCTGCCCCCCCTGCGCCCACGCTTTTCGTGCCATGCTTCCCACCCCGCTCCTGCGGTCGTCCATCTTGCCGGCTTGCCAGCCCGCAAGCACCACCTGCTCCATCTCACAGCCTCTCCACACGGCCTACAACACACCCCAACCCTCCCCACCACCCTCTCCCCGCCGCCACCCCGCTGCCGCAGTGGAGAACGACGACCGCCCCGGCCTGTTCAGCCTGGCTGACCTGTTGCCGCTGCACGCCATTGCCGGCACCCCGCTGGTCTTTGACTACCTGCACCACGCGCTGGTGCCGGGCGGGCTGAGCCAGCGGGACGCCCTGCTGGCGGCGCTTGCCACCTGGCCGCGCGGCATCCGCCCCGTGGTGCACTACAGGTGAGGTGGCGCGGCGGCCAGGTGCAGGTACGGCACCCAGCCAGGCCTGCCTGCTGGCCGCATGCGCCTGCACGCAAAACCTGCCCGCTCACCGGTTGCCCTTGTGGCGTCCAGGCAGGCCCCTGCCCCTGCCTGACCCTCGGCCCACTCCCTGCCGCTATCCCCCACCCACCCACCCACCCACCTGCCGCTGCAGCGAGCCGTCTGAGAACCCGGCGCTGCCTCGGCGTGCGCACTCGTGCATGCTGACGCAGCCGTTTGACCTGCACGGGCGGGAGGCGGATGTGGATGTCATGCTGGAGGCCAAGGTGTGTGCAGGGGGCTGCCTCCTGGCGGTGTGCAGGCTCCTCCTTGTGTGGGCCCGCTGGCCGGGGTGGTGCACAGCAGGCGGACGGGCACGTGCCGACGGGCGGCGGCGCCCGCTGCGGTGCAGGGCATGGAGCGGGCGCTGCTGTTCTATCGCGACGAGCTGCAGCTGGGGCGCAAGCAGGAGACGCCGGCGGCGCCGCCGCGCAGCACCGCCGCCACCAGGCGGGCCTTGCTCCTCTGAATCAGCGCACTGCCGGTCTGGCGGTCCTTGTCAGTGAACTGTTGCTTGCGTTCATTACCACATTACGCAAAGTTCAGTGTAAATTATTGCCATGTAAATCTAGTCATTGCCATGTAAATCTAGTCGGCATGCCCTTGTTGGCCCCCCCTTGTAAGGCAGTTCTGGTCCTGTTCCCCTACTCCTCGTCCTCCTGCTGCTGTCGGCGGCTCAGGCTGGCGTGGCGGCGGCGCGACCGCGCCATCTTGCTCTTGTGCTGCTGCAAGCGCGCCTGCACGGCGGCCGCCAGGTCGGTCGTGTCGCTCCCACCTTCACGCTGCTGGCCGCCACCAGGTGCCGCCTTGGCAGCGCTCCGCCCCCCCTGCTGCTCCTCGGCCGCGCCGGCGCCCTCATCATCCTCCGCAGCAAACAGAGAGTCAAACAGCGCCTCTGCGCTGCCCAGTGCTGCCGCCGCCTCCTGGCGGGGCTGCTGGCTGGCCTGCGGGCGCGGCGCCGGTCTCACCGCCGCCGGCTGCCGCTTCTGCTGCTTGCCGGTTGAGGTGTGGGCATGGTCGCTGGAGCTGTCGTGCCGCCGTTTGCGGCTGAAGCTCGCCACAGGCGCTGCTGCTGCGGCAGCAGGCTTGGCTGACAGGCAGCTCTTGCCTCCGGTGCCTGCCCTGGCACGTGGCTTGGCAGTGGCGGCGTTGCTGGGTGGTGCCGCCGTTGCTGCTGGTGCAGCGGCAGGGCTGTGCTGCGCCTGCCCTCCGCCAGCTGCTGCCAGGCGCATGGAGTGCCGGGAGTGCGACGGCAGAGGTGGGAAGGTGGTGGGCATGGCAGGCTGAGACACACGCTGCTCGCCAGGCGTGGCAGCATGCAGGCCACGCTGCAGACCAGCTGCAGGTGGCAGGGCGGTGGGCTTGAGCGGTGCAGCCTTACGAGCAGATGGAATGTCGGCCGAAGAAGGGCGGCGCTGGCTGAAGGTCTGCAGGAGGCCAGGAGGCTCGGGCGCCACGACAGCAGCAGCTGGCGCGGGGCCTGCGCCCTGGCGGCCGCGCAGCTCTGTGGCAGGCGAGGTCTGCGTGGCCATGTCTGCAGCAGGGGCTCAGGCGACAATGGGGTACCCGCCACACTGGAGCACCGCGATGCCATTGCAGGGTGCTGGGCTGGATCCGCAGGCTTGCCACCCCTTGCCCCACAGACGGCGTGTACCCACCTCCTGTGACGCACGGCTCCTTGGCCAGCAGGGCCTGAAGCCGCTCCTCCATGCTGCTGGAGGCCCCGGTCGCCAACTGCACAGCCTGCACACGGGCCATTGGCAGCCCACACACGCAGCTCTTCTCCCTGCCTCTCGGCTCCAATGCCAACTCCAAGCCAGGCTCCAGATTCCCTGGCTGTGCTGCCAGCTGCCTCACCTGCAGCAGCTGCGCGCAGGCGTTGGCGATGTCATCCAGCTTGCTGCCTTGCTGCGCCAGGCCAGCCTTCAGGTCGCCCACCGCCGCCTCCAGGCTGCTCTGCCTGCCGTCAGCTGCCTCCAGCTTGGCGCTGCACCAGGGTGGGCAACGATTGGGTGCAAAGTGTGCGTCAACAGACACCAGGGTCAGATCAGCGCGCTGCAGCTGCAGAGCACCCAAGCGCACCCACCTGAGGCCGGCCAGCAGCGGGTGGGCATCCAGGTTGAGCGCCTTCCTACTGATTTCGTTCAGCAGCCTGGTGGCGGTCTGCATGGAGCATGCCTTAGGTTATTTGACTCTATGCAATGCAAAGGCAGCACCCAGCTGGTGCAGGCATGCACCAGGCGAGGCTGATGGTGACTGCCTGCGGGCAGCACCATGTCGGCTGCGGTTTGGCAGCACCCACCTGCGCCGGCGCTGGGCCACGGGTGACCTCAGGTTGGCTGGGGGGGTGGCCATAGTCGGCGGTGGGTTGCGGCGCGCTCCCCACACCGGCAGCATCCAGTAGCCCCTGACTGTCGTCCGCCTGCTCATCCATCAGCACGCTATCCAGCTGGGAGCGCTGCGCAACAGCAGTGGGTGCCACAGCAGCTGGCCTGAGCCAGCCTGTTTCAGCGCTGCCGGTGCAGCAGCAGAGGCAGAAAGTGGGCAAGGGCTGGTTTGGCAGGTGCCACCTCCATGCATTGCCCAGGCTGAGGTGTGCACCTGTGACCAGGGCGGGAAGGCAGCGTGCAGCTGGGAAGCCGTTGGCTGGCTGAAGCGCAGCCCGCGCGCATTGGCCGCAGCTGCAGGGACAGGCTGAGGCGCCATTGGCAGGGCCTGCATCACCTGCAAGCATGCGCACATGCAGTGAGCGGCTTGCTTCTGGCCAAGCATGATGCATGCGGCTGCGACAGGGCGGGCCGTCCAACCAACTAAAGGTCAGCATTCCCCTGCAGGAGCATCGCGAGCACCCACCTGCTGCGGCGGCGCCTGGAATGTCAAGGCCGACCTCTGCTGCTGTGGTGGGTGGTAGGCGAAGCGCGGCAGGGGGATAGCCACCGGCCGGATGGGGTTGACTTGGCGGGCCCCGCCCTCGGCGGCTGGCGCTGCGGGCTGCGCAGAGTATTGTTCAGCTGCCCCTACGGCGCTGACGGCTGCTCCCGTCAGCGGGTGCGTGCTGCGGGAGAGCCATGGTCGCGAGCCAGGCGCTGCATACTGCAGCGTGTTGACCTGCCTGCAGCAGTGGTGGAGCACTGCCTTGTTTGGCCAACGGTGTGAGGCAAGTAGGGACGGTCAGCACTAAAACAGCAGCTCCCTTGTCCCGACTTGCCTGCTCATTGCTGCTCCCCGCAGCCCTCTCACTGGACCAAATAATAGAGAGCGAGGGAGAGCTGTGCCCTGCATGAGGCGAGCTGGAAAGTTGACCGGCTGAAACAGAGGCCTGTTGTCTGCTCAAGGCTGTCTTCTTATTCCTTCCTCCGATCCCCAGCACCAGCAGCGCCCCCAGCAATGGCTGAGATCAGCACTCTTCCCTGGAGCGCCGAGGAGCAGCCCGAGCAGCCCGAGCAGCAGGTCTGGACCCCGCCTGGGCTGCCGTTGAGCGTGGGACTTGCCTGCATAACTACAGCAGAACCAGCACCACCTGCACCAGCAGCAGCAATGGCCCCTGCCGCCCACCGCCGTTTGAACTTCCGACGCGGCCACAACTTGCAGGCGACCCAGGACGCATTTGAGAACATTCTGCTGCAGACTTTCTCAACGGAGGTGCAGACGGCCATGAGGGTGAGCGCACAGTGGCATCGTCTGCCTCTCCCGCAGCAGGTATGGCCGCCTGCCGCCTGGCCCGCGCCACCCGAGGCAGCCAGTTCCATCCCGTGCCTGCAGGATGAGCTGCTGCCCCGCCAGCGCGACATCAGCCAGGGCCTGCACGAGATCCAGCGGCAGGCGCAGGAGGCGGTGACCGACTCGAGTGAGTGGAGGCGGGTGCTGCGGGCGCCGACGCGGGTGGCGTGGCGGCGCCGACGACGTGGCCTCGCGAGGGCGCACCTTGTCCATCGTCTGAGATGAGGCATCCAATTGCCCCCAGGCACTCTTGTTCTCTCACCGTCTCGCTGTGGTCCATCAGCCCCTTCCGCGAGCTGCTGCAGGCGCGGAACTGGAGGCGGCACGGGCGGAGCTGGCGCGACTGTCGAGTTTGGTACTCTCCTTCCAGCAGGCGGTGGTCCAGGTGCTGCAGCCCGGCCTTTCTTGATTGCCGCTGCTGCCGATTGCGAGAGGCAGTGTAAACAGCACGCCGCACGACAGGAGCATCGAGAGGGGGATTGGCGGCTGGGCATGGGGCCCCAGCATGAGGCACATGCTAGGCATGCACTTGAGCGCCTCTGCATTGCGTTCTGCGCTCCTGCACTCGTCCCCTTGCTTGGAAACCCACCCCGGCCCGCCCTCCTCGCTCCCTACTCAAACTCGGCAGGACACAATTGTCAGCGGCTTTTCGGGCCCCCACGCCCCTGATCACCAGCCATGAGCGCGCCCCAGCACCCTGGTGCCACACCCTGGCGCGCCAAGCCAGCCTCCCGCCTGCAGGCGCTGCCTGTCTGGCGCGCCCAAGGCCGGCGCGCCTCCACCCGCTGCTTTTCGAACGGCGATAATGGTGAGTGGCGCCAGGGGCGGTGCCCGGCCCCAGCCTGCCGCCCAGGGCTGGCCATGGCGCCAGTGTTAACGCCGCCGTCAGCGCCCTGCCGCCCCGGCACCCATCGCCTGCGGCCCCTGCTCCGGCCCCCCTGCAGTCAGCGTGGCGGTCCGCTTCCAGCTGCCCTACCACTGCAAGTACGGCCAGAGGCTGTGCTTGATCGGCTCCAACGACAACCTGGGCGCCTGGAACGTCGCCCAGGCGGTGCCCATGGAGTGGACTGAGGGCGACGTCTGGACGGTGGAGCTTCAGATGCCGGCAGAGTGAGCTTCCGGGGGAACTGCGGGCCCAGCCGGTGCACTACGCAGACAAGAGAAGTCTGCTGGAGATGGGAGGCGATGGACAACATGACGGGGATGCCATGCCATGCCAGCATGCCATGTCGCCTGCCATTCGTGTCGCCCACTGCTGCCTCACCCTGCCCCGCACCGCCTGCGCCCCCTGCAGCGGCAGCGTGGAGCTGGAGTACAAGTATGTGGTGCGGCACGAGCGTGACAAGACTGCGGTGCGGTGGAAGGAGGGAGGCAACTTCTACCTGCAGGTGCCGCCCAAGGGAGAGCTGCGCGTGCGCGACACGTGGGACGAGAGCATGCGGGAGGTGGAGGTGCGTGGCTGCTCAGGCTGGGCCTGCACCAGCGGCAGCGCTGGTGCGCCTGGAGGCAGCGTGGAGCTTCCAGGAGCAAGAGCAGCCAGCAAAGGGCTAGGAACTGCCACTGTCGAGCGCGTGCGTTCTTTGCGGTGCTCCTCTCGAAACACGCATGCTCACTGGCACACCCGCCCTGCCGCTCTGTGCCCTGCAGGTGCTCACGCAGGCGCAGCTGGAGCAGCTGGCGGTGGAGCAGCAGCGGGCGTGGGAGGAGCAGCGGGCGCAGGAGGAGCAGCGGGCGCAGGAGCAGCAGAAGCAGAAGCAGCAGCTGCTGGAGAAGCAGAGGGTGCTGGAGGAGCAGCACCTGGCTGCCGTCGCCAAAGCGGCAGCCGCAGCCGCCGCAAAAGCTCCAGTTGAAGCAGCCGCAGCGCCGCCGGCGCCTGCACCCGCAGCGGTGGCGCCTCCCGCGCCTGCACCAGCAGCAGCTGCCGCCCCTACGCCTGCACCAGCAGCGGTGCCACCTCCCAAGCCCGCGCCTGCGGTTGCAGCGACGTCTGCAGCCGAGCCCACAAAGCGACAGCGGCGGAAGAAGGTGGATGAGGATGAGCTGGCGGCTGCTGCCATCTCCAAGGCCGCCGACCGGGCGATGAGCCAGCTAGACAGCGCGGTGTCCAAGTCGCTGGACCTGCTGACAGTCACCAACGACCCGGCCACGCCCGAGCTGCTGGCGGCAGACCGCCAGGTGGCAGCAGCGGCGAGGCGCGCGGCCACCATGAACCGCGCCCTGGATGCAGCCAAGGAGGCCAAGCTGCTGCCGCCGGTGGGCACCAAGCCGCGGCGGCGACGAAAGGACAGCCAGCAGTCCTGATGGGTGGCTGGGATGGCAGCAAGGCTGTGGAACAGCTGTAGCAGCAGTCGCCTCATTGTGTGCAGCAGTAGTGCAGTTGTACAAAGCCGTCCACTCCTCCGTTCATGAACAGGGAGACACGCGAGCGTCAGCGCCTGCCAGCGCCGCTGGCCCCTTTCCAGTGCAGCTAGTGATCGCGTCCAGTGTCCTGCGGGTCGATCTTGTGGCCCTTTCAATAGAGTCGATGCGTCCTGCCTTGCGCCAGTGCCGGTGGCTCCTTTCATTGTTGATTGAATCGATCCTGTCCTGTGCCTGGCCGGCTTTAGTGCTACAGTACTGCTGGCTGTGGGCGCAAGGCCTCAAGGCCTTTCAGTGGGAATGGTCAAGCTGGCAAGTTCAGAAGAGGGGGAACCCCGCGGACAACAAGGCACAATGATGAAACAAAATCGAAGTAGTATACAGAGAGAGGGCAAGCATGGCAGCCTGCTCGCGCATGGCGCGAGCAGGCTGCCATGCGTGCATTGGGTTTGCAGGCAATGGGGTGTTCGAGGTGCAGCCCGAGGCGCTAGTTCCCTCAGCTTCACATGTCCTTTGTCATCTCCACCAGCTGGTCCAGGCTGATCTTCTGCTCCTCGCCCCGGAAGTCGTCCTCGGGCGTCAGGAACAGCATGCAGTGGCACTCCTGCAGGGCGGCGGGCGAGGAAGTGCGGCGCAGCAGCGGCTGAGTAAGGAAATGGGCAGTGGATGTGGCAGCTGCAAGCCGGGAGAGTGCCAGGACTGGCCTCTCTGGCGTCGTCAAATAAGGCAAAATCGCATGCTCCTTGGCCGCTCTCAACAGCAGCTGCAAGGGAGGGACGCGCTTTGCGAGCTACGCAGGAAACAGGAAGCGGCGCCAGTGCTTGCGCCGTACCTTGCGCTCGCGCATGGGCACGCAGGGGCAGTTCCAGAAGCCCTGCTCCGCCTCGGCTGCCTTGTCGTCATAATGGCGGCAGGGGCAGAGCGGTGCGCCGAGCTCGTCCTTGTGCTCCGCAAGGCCCTTGATTACCACCGCCGTCACCGAGAGGTCCATGCAGAAGTATGTGCCCGTCCTGCATCCAGGAAGCCCGTGTGTGTGGATGTGTGGGGAGCAAAGGGGACGGAAAGCCCGCGTGCGACAATGCTCCAGCTGCGAGCGAGGAAAGAACTCGGGCGTGGCGGGCCCCACCTCTGGGCATACTGCTCCGAGAACTTGCGCATGACCTCTAAGCTCCGTAGCTCAGGGGCCACATCGGTTGCTGCGGGGGGGCAGACACAGCAAGCTAAGTGCACGCAAGGCGGCGGTGGAGCGGCGGTCGGCGGTGGGCTGCCCCAGCGAAAGGCCTGCGCTGTGCCGTAGCTTCCACACGACAAAATGTCCTGGCTGCAGCATTCTGTGCTGACCCTGGCGAGGGCTGTTTGCGCTGAGCTCCTCTCTGCCACCAGCGCCCAGCGGGGACCCTCACCTATGTTTGCGCACACCCGCAGTGGCCGCCGGGTGGCCCTGGCAGCCCTAAACACGCCCCGTCTGGCTGTGGGCAGCGCGCTGAAGGTGGCCGAGGACGTCATATCTGGGCTGGTCTGCCGGCTGGAAGTGGAGCTGGATGTTGGGAGTGGCGATGGACTGATCGATGAGCCAGGGGTGGTGTCGAGCCGATGCCTCGGCGGCACAGGTGGCAAGGACCCTGGCCGGGCTCTGCAGCACCATTTCCAGTCGAAAGACGCCCGATCCGGTGCTCCAGAGACCAGATGGCTGCAGCAGGCACCACGGGACGACCAGTGGGAGGCTTGGGTTTGCTGCCGCCGCCTGCCGCCTGCGAGGCGCCGCAGTGCATTGATGAAAGGAGGCCATGTGAGAGCCACAATCCATCCTCTGCCACATCCTCTGCGCATCTACAGCCAAGCAGGAGCTGCGCTTGGGTGGCAGCTTGGCAGCGTGGTGCACACCCATCACCGATGGCCGCCCACTCTCCCAACTCTTGCTGCCTCCACGTTCTGCACCCAGCGAGTGCAGAACCAGCGAGTGGCTGAGCCTCTCCAGGGGTGTTGGACTGGCATCGTCACGGGGCATTCGGGGAATCGACCACATTTCAGACCAAATTTCAGAGTGTAGGTTGCGGTCCCCCGCCGCACGTTTGCAGCAGCAAGCCAGAGCAGTGAGGGTCGCCCCGAGATTACATGTGTCAGAAGGGCTGGCATGCTGCAGCGCAGAACATCAGCTGCTGGTGCATTTCGGAGATGCGTACAAACTCCCTGCACCCGTGACGGCTCCCCGCCCCGCCCGCAGCTACTTGCGGTTGCTCACTCGGACAGGCACACCACCGTTGCGCATGGCGGAGGGCGGAAACCAGGGTTCCTGCCGCCTCTCCCGCACGAACAGACCACCGCTTCCAGGAATTGAGAGCCTGGAAGCGGCCTGAGGTCTCTCTCGCAAGCGCGCAGCCTATTGTTGCACCCGCTGCCAGCGGCGGGGGGCGCACTGCAGCTGGCGGCAGGCAGGCGCAGTCCAGGGCCCTCACGGTGAACGGCGCTCCGATCTTGCTGCTGCCGCCTGCACATTGCCCCCCAGGCTTTCGCACTCCAGGCTTTCGCACATTTGATCAAATGACACGCCGATTTGCCCCAACAGGTACGAGGGCCAACTCTTGAAGATCATCTGGGGGGCCATTCCCGCCATTCCTTCGCTACGACCCTGCATTTCCTTGATGTGCTAGCCAGCAGCGACCAGGCTGCTATGGTGAGGCTCACACACAGGCGCTGAAGTTGGGCGAGCGCAACTGCAGTTGACGGCGGCCGATGCAGCATCCACACAACGGTGGGGGCGAGCATGACTCCTGGGCAGGTGGGAGGCGGGCTGGAGAGGGCTGCAGAGGCCGCAGGAGTACATCGGCCGAAGAGTGCATTGGGACACTGGCTCCAGCGGGGCGGCAGGCAACGGTTCTGAGCCCTCCAAGCGGCCCGGGGTTGGGAGGGCGGCCAGCGTCCCGTCTCATTCGGAGCCCGCCCAATCGTGCAGGTCTGGCCCCAGACGCCCCAGCCCTTGGTCGCACAGGCCCAACAGATGCCCTTCGCGGTCCAGGAGGGCTGGCGGACCAGCGTGAGTGCGGGGGAGGTGGTGGGAGGGGGCGCCGCGCGGGCGTGACCGCGGCGGGACCGTTGGAGCTGGCGCGCCGCAAGGGCACGTGGAAGGGGGCAGTTTGTGGTGAAACCCCCTCACCCGCTGCCACTCACTGGCCGTTTGCCGCCACCATGCATGCAGTGCTGGCCGCGCAGCTGCATGCGCTGCACCTGGGGGCGTCGGCAGCATACGCTGGTGTACCGATGGCGGTGGGCGGCGTCCCGGGGGTGATGGGCAGCTCATTGCCGCAGGCGGGCGCGCATCCAGGGCGAGAGGCATCCCACGGGTCTGTAGAACACAGCGGCATGCAGCAGCTGGATCCCTCGCTGCTTGCGAGCCACGAGTTGCTGAGCCGGCTGCAGATGGGTGCTGGAGGGTCCGGCATGCTGCCTCCCAGTGCCGTCCTGCCTTCATCAGCCATCCCGCTGGCGGCGCACCCGCAGCAGCAGCAGCCGCAGGATCAGCGGCCGCCGGCGCCGGGCAGGCGCCGTGGCGGCAGCGGCTCCAGCCGGCGCAACGAGGAGAAGGTGCGGTGCACTGTCTACATCTCCGACATCTCAGACACCGTCACCGAGGCACAGCTGGCCGCCTTCTTCCAGGACTGCGGCCAGCTGGTGGACTGCCGCGTGTGCGGCGACCCAAACTCCTCCATGCGATTCGCCTTCATCGAGTTCATGCAGGAGGATTCTGCGCAGCAGGTGCGCAGGCCGCCGCGCTGCCAGCAGAGCTGCCCAACGTCGCTGCAGCTGGTGGTGGGGCATCAGTGTTTTGCCAGGGCGCATCGCATTTTTATTTCTGGCTAATGCGTGCACGAGTTCACGTGCGCATGGCCGTGCTGGCACCGGCGCCACGGCGTGCAGGCGCTGGGCAAGAGCGGCGCGATGCTGGGCGACTTCCCCATCCGTGTCAGCCCTTCCAAGACTGCCATCGTGCCCGTCAACAACACCTACCTGCCCCGCAGCACCGAGGAGCGCGAGCTGGTGGCGCGCACCGTGTTTGTGGGCAACATCGACCGCGTGGTGGAGCGCGAGCAGCTCAGCGAGTTCTTCCAGAATCTGTGCGGTGAGCAGGAGCCCCAACAGGGCGGAGCAGGCCTGGGCGCTGAAAGCCCCAGCTGCCCTACTATTGGCTGGTCACCGGCTCACCTGGCAGCCTGTGCATGCCATTAGCGCCACCGCACTGAGCATACACCCTTCCGCCTGCAGGCCCTGTGTCCAAGATCCGCCTGCTGGGCGACTCGCAGCACAGCGCCAAGATCGCTTTCATCGAGTTTGTCACGGCGGAGAGCGCCAGGGCCGCGCTCAAGCTGAGCGGTGCTCTGCTAGGTACGCTGCCGCTGCAGGGCAGCAAACATCACACATTCTGCTCTTGTCCCACGCTGCGGGCTCCTCCGCCGATGCTGCGACTTTCTTGACATTGCGGCCTGAGCACACAATGCCTTGCATGCTGGCGGCTGCAGGTACACTCCCGCTGCGTGTCTCCCCCTCCAAGACGCCCGTGCGTGCAGACATGCGGCGTGCGCAGGAGAGCCGGGGCTTGGTGCCCAGTGCATCGCTGGCGCCGGTCACCCCTGGCTCGCCGCACGCGCAGCTCAACCCAGCCCTGCTGATGGCGGTGGCGGGGTTGCACATGTATCCCGCTCACTTCCACGGATGACTGGCGCAGGCCATCCGTCTGGGCTGGCAATTAGCTGGCTGCGACACATGCGCATAACGCTCGATCCCGGCATGCTGCCAGACAATACAGCCCTGTTCATATTCATCTCGCGCGTCGTGTCGCCCCGCCGGCGGGTGCGGCCCCGCCCTGACCGCTCTTTCTACCTAATTCCCCAACAGGTCGCTCCCACTTCCATGCAAATCGCTTTATCTACACCAAACTGTACTGAACACCATTATTTCCTACCTGTCTTCACTTTGAGATGGCTGGGCCGCCCTTGTCCCGCACCCACTTATTTTCAGCGGCCGTGTGCTGTGCTGCGCACGGTTGCCCTTGCGTGCTGCATATCATCTCAATGACTCCCCTTTCTCTCCCAGCAAGCAAACTTGCCAGCCAATCTATGTCATACTTTGCTGTTACGCAGCAATAGTCACAATTCTCTTCTATCCTTGTTTTGATTTCGTGAGAGCTCCTTGTGCACACCTTCCAGTGTCCGCGCTCTTGTCATGCCGCGCCTGCATGCGGCCATCTTGCTTCCCCAATGATCGCTAATGCTCTCCCTTACTTGTGATGGGACACACTAAGCTGCATTTGATATACCCTGTCTCCTAATGGATGCCAACACCATGATCAGTTTCCCATAAAATGTGAACACTAGTGAACAGGTGCTGGAACGGCAGCTGGTAGGCAAAGGAGCGGCAGTTGCCTGATTGGCTCGGTGAGAGCTTTATGAGAGGTTACTGAAAAAGAAGTTATGAGAGAAGAGAGAGGAGAGGACAAGTAAGAACAGTTAATCAGGGAGACGAGCAACGATTGTAAGCAGAGAAGAAAGATAGCAGTTGTATGGGCTTCTGCCAGCTGTAACTGCATGGCGAACTCACCATCAGTGATGCTGTTTATGCTGGGCGCCAGGTGCTGCAGACTCTGCCAGGCTGTCACGGCATGCCCCTGACAGACCAGCCAAGCACCCAGGCAGAGGCTCAGAGGTCACGGGGATGGACAGCTGGCAGCCGGGCCAGGACAGCAGCACTCAGCGCCGTGGTGACGGGGCCCGGCACGTGCGGCAGGTCCAGCGTCCACGGCGGGTGGCCCCACACATTGCCGGCGCCGCAGGAGATGGTGCGCAGGGGCTGCACCAGGCGCAGGCCGTTTGTGACAAAGGCCTCCCGCCACACGTGCCTGCCGTCCATGCTGGGCGCCTCCTCCCGCACCTCGATGCCCAGCTGGCTGCACGCCTCCAGCACCGCTGCCCGCACCGTGCCCCAAACCACGCCGTCCTGCATGCCTGCGGTCCACACCACCGGCGGGCCGTCGCTGCTGCCGCTGCCTCCGGTCACCACAAACAGGTTGGTGACCAGGCCCTCCAGAACACGCCCATCCTGCGCGCTCAACAGCACCTCCACTGCCTCGCCCTTCTGCTGCTCCAGAGACTGGCGTTCAGCCACCCAGCCAGAGTCCTGCAGGCAGGGCAGCAAGTGACAAGAGAGGGTGGAACATGGGGCTGCGCAGCAAGCACATGCAGGGCAGCACCACCATGAGCACCATGGCATGGACAAGGGGAGAGGCGGCTTGCAGCGGAAGGTGCTGCACAGCCTGCCCACCTGCCCACCCACCACCCACCTTGCCCACTGGGATTTTGCGAGGGCCCCCCAGAATCACGGCTTCACCCGCACTGTTGCTGCCGGCCAGCCCGGAAGGGTATGCCAGCACTCGCACGTCCAGGCCGCAGGGCTGCGCCGGCTCGGGCACCATGACAATCATCAGCATCAGGTCCTCGTCCACCACCGATTCCTGCGCCAAGGCCTCCCGGATGGGCGGCCCCAGCAGCTGCTGCAGCACGGCGCTCTCTGGTCTCCCTGCAGCCTGCACGCGGCACCCAGCCCGGCAGGTCTGCGGTGAGCTGGCGTTGGCGGGATGGCGGAGGCAGCAGCGGCCACCAATTGTTTTCCGGCGGATGACCTCACCGCCAGCGACGAGTAGTATGCATCGTAGAAGCCCGCTATGGCCGTGTGCATGGCGCTGAGGGACTTCTCCAGCCGCTCCACGTGCTTGGGCCAATTCAGCAGCTGCCTGTCCTTGACATACACTGTGGTATATGCTCCTCGAGGGGTGGCCAGCAAAAACTGCTGTGGGGTCTGTCGAGGCATCACAGCAGAGCCAAGGGAGGCCTGTGTACCAGCTGGGGCCATGGGCAGATGCTACTGTGGCTTACGATGACCCGCAAATGTCGCAGTCTTGTCCGCAAGCGGCCAGATGCACGGGCAATTCATCCTGCACCATCCACCTGGCATCATGGCACCTGCCGCCAGGCGGGTCAAGTAGTAGTACCCAGTAGTGCCCTGCTTCTTCTCTTGCTGTTCTGTCACAGCTGAATTCAGGCAGACAGGCAAGGGGCCGGCCACTTTCACCATTACATGCAATGAGTGGCAGCCGTCTGCTCAGTGCCAGCGCAGCAGGCGCACAAAGAGGCAGGGCGCCGCCACGCGCACGCGCAGGTCGGCGATGTCGATGTCGTGCCCCCCCTCCACCAGCCCCCACCGCTCAATCTGGTGGTCCTCCTCCAGCCGCGCCGCAGCCAGCACCTGCTCAATGCTCAGCGCCTGCGCCGTGGCCGCCAGCCCCAGCAGCACAGACTTGCAGTACGCCGCCAGCTGCTCCGCGGCGGCCAGGTGCCAGCGGTCCAGCCCCTGCACGAGCGGGAGGCGCGGGAAGGAATGTTGCAGGGCAGGGCAGGAGGAGAGGCTGGAGGTGCGAGGGATGCAGAGCATTCCCTGCTGTCCTGCTGCCCAGCACCCTGCACCCATCCGCTGCCCCACCTGTAGGTGTGCCTCCACCCCCCCCAGCTCCTCCTGCCCCAGGCTGGCCCCAAAGATGCTGTCAGTGGGCTCCACTCGCACCCCCATCTGCTGCTGCGCCCACGCCAGGATGGGGGCATACACCTGCAGGGCAGGGCAGGCCGGGGACACGGCACAACATGGCGGCAGCAGCGAGTGGTCAGGCGCAGGGATGGATGGCAGCCAGAACAGCGAAAGCAGCGGTGCCAGCAGATACACACTGCCATTGGAGTGGCCAGGGCCAGCAGTCGGGGCTGGGGGAGCTGACGCGCGCCTGCGCCTGGCGGTCAGCCACCAGCCCCGCCTCGTCTCGGCACAGCACCGAGTCTGTGGGCAGGTACTGCAGCATGGTTGCCACCACCTCATCCCGCGGCTTGGGCTCGTCCAGCGCCGTGGCTGCCAGGGACATGAGCGGCATGGTGAAGGGCTGGATGCGCTTGATCTGCCGAGGAGGCGAGCGGCAGGGAGGCGGCAGGGGGCGGCCAGTGTCAGCCGTGGTGAGCGGGTGTGAGCAGGAGCTCCCACCGCAGCAGGGAGTGCCAGGGTCCACCAAGCGCGCAGGCGGCAGCTTTGGCAGGTGCTCGACCGGCTGCGCGCCCACCTGCCACTCCCACTCGGCGGCAATGGCCAGCGCCAGCGCACGGCTGGGCAGCACCAGCGGGTGGCGGGCAGGGGTGCGCAGCACACGATGGTCCAGCATGACCTGGTAGCCGCCCTGCAGGCATGGTCGAGGCGCAGGGCAGGCGGTCCGAGGGCGGGCAGGCACAGTGGTCATATACACAAGAGGTGAAGGGGTACAGGCACCTGATGGGCACCCCTGCATCAACAAGTCAAAGCGGCAGCGGCAGGCGGCAGCGGCAGCGGCGACGGCACCTGGTCCAGCGCGTCGCGGATGTGCACCGTCTTGTAGAACCTGGGAACTCCCTGCGTGCTGGTGCCCTCTCCCACGCCGTGGGTGGCAAAGGACAGGCGTTGAGCCAGGCATGGCAGCAGGTCTCTGAGGTTGGTGAGCGGCCGGCCCAGCTGGTGCAGCTGGGACAGCGCTGCTGCCTGCCTTGCCACCTGCATGGCTGCACCACCGACTGACAACGCAGGCAGAGGCTGCAGCTCGCCGCCAGTCCTTCACTGCATGGGGTGGGGCTTTCCAGTGCCAAAACCTCGCTTTGCACAGGGCTGTTTTAATTTTGCTGATGATAAACTGGCTACAGAAGTGATCGCCGCCCTTCACAAGAAGCCAGGAGCTCCCAACAGGCTCATTGCACCATGTCGGGCCCCCAAACGCAGGCAGCGGGTGCGCCCAAGCGAGTGTTGGCAACGGAGGAGATCCAGCAGGTGCCTGGATGGCATTGCGGGAACCAGACATGTCTGCGCTCTTTGAAACTTGGTGCCGCCGCTCTCCTGCCGGACCCGCTGCCGCCACCACAACGCCTGCTGCCGCTTGTGCACCTCCACTGGAGCGCAGATGCTGGAGGACAATGCCAAGCTGATAGCGGCTATAGTGGAGAACCAGAACCTGGGGAAGCTGGACCAGTGCATCGAGTGAGCGACCCGCCGCCGTGTGCGTAGCTGCCAACTCCACCTCCACGGCGCCACCTGCTGACCCTCCCCCTGCCATTGACACAACCCGCAGGTATCAGAAACGGCTGCAGGACAACCTGATGAGCCTGGCAGCGCTGGCAGACTCGCAGGCCACGCCGCCACAGCAGCAGCAGGCAGCTCCTGGGCAGCAGCAGGCAGGAGCAGGACCGGCGGCGGCAGCAGGCGGGCAACCCCAATAACGCGCCTCTGTAGCTCCATGTTTCCTTTGCCTGTTTTACAGTTCGATTTCATTGCGACCCCTGTCTTCGTCACTCGCTGCCCGCCTCCTGCTGCTTCCCTCTACCTACCCCTGACTGCCCGCCAAACTGACTGGCCTGCAACACACCCTGCCACTCAGCCCTGCTAGTTGCCTGCCGCCAGCGCCGCGGCCAGCCGCTTGTCCGCCGCCAGCTGGGTCTCCAGCTCCCGCCGCCGCGCCTCCGCCTGCGCAGGGTGCTCCTCCGCCCTGCGCTGCACCACGTGCAGCCGGAACGCGGCCGCCGCCTCCTCCGCCTGCACCCGCGCCTGGTCCGCGGGGCTGAGGTGCTGCAGCTCACTGGACAGCACAGCGCCCAGGCGCGCCACCTCGGCGCTGCTCTCCGCCAGCCTGCTCTGCAGCACGCGCTGCCGGTCTGCCATCCTGTCATCAAATGCCGCCAGGCACGCCGCCCGCGCATCCTCCGCCTCGGCGGCAGTCATGTCGCGGGCGCCTGCATGCGGCGCGTGGGGCAGGCCATGACTTGCTTTCCAACCAGCAGCTCTGGTGCTGGCTGCTGGTAGCGCGGGAACGGAAGGTGGTGGGCCAGCCTGCCTGCTGTACGGGCCTGCTGCTTGCCGGTATGCATGTCTGTGGCCGCACTGGCCCACCCACCCACCGGTGCTGGGCAGGAAGTGGTGCAGGAAGTCGTACGCATCCTCCTCCTCCTCCCCCACAGCCTCCACCCCGTCGCTGTCCTCAACCTGCAGCACACCGCAGCCGGCGGCGCATCGCCGTGATGGAGACCCTCGGGCAGAGCTGTGCAGCGTGCCCCTCTGCGAGTCGGCCTGGCGGCCTGGTGGAGTGGGTGACGCCCCAGGCCTGGGGGTCCAGCCCCGCCCACCCACCCACCTTCACACGAGTGGCGTCGTAAAAGGCGGTCTCCACCAGCGTGCCCTGCTCCTGGCGCTGCCTCGAGGCCAGTATGCGGCGCGTCTCCTCCTCCGCGCCACGCACCGCCGCCTGCGCAGCGCCGCACGCCACGCGCAGCGCCGCACATTCCTGGCGCCGCTCCTCCTCCGTGCCGCCGGCGCCCTCCAGCAGGAAGCCTCCCAGGTCTGCACGCCAGCCAGGCAGGTCGCGGGGCAGGCGGCCTCAGCAACTCGCCGCCGCCGGCGCACCCTCACCAAGGAGCCAGCAGCAAATCACCTCCAAGGCCGAATCCTTTACTGTCGCTGCACAAAACACAGCATGGCGGCAGCGCCTCGCTCACTGTAGGTGCGCGCCACCCTGCCTGCCTCCGCGCCATCCGCCCCACCACCCTGCATCACCAGCTGCGCCCTGGAGCTGGCCGGCTCAAAGCGGCGCTCCAGCACCGGCGCGCTGCTGCAAGCACCGCCGGCGGTACCATGCGGGGCCGCAGGGGGACGGTACTGCTCGTGGATGAAGGCCACCGCACGATCCTGGGTATCCCAGGTGGCGACCACGGACGAGCGGCGGTGGTGCACATGCACGCTGTGCAAGCTGGGCCTGGCGGAGGCGCCGGCCGCCGCGGCTGCCAGGATGGCCGCGGCGTCGCTGGTCTTGCGCACGGCAGCGGAGAAGGCGGGGGCGGGGCAGCTTGCGGCGTATTGCACGGAGCGGCGGATCAGGCCGTCGGGGCGGCTGCCCGGCATGAACCACTCCTCCATCGAATCCCCGCTGCACTGCCGCCTGCAGCGGCAGCAGCATGTGGAGGCGCGCACATGTGGACGAGCAGCAGGCGGCGCACAGCGGGTCCCGCACCCGTGTGCGGGTTCACCCACACCTTGGCCCAGCCTGTGTGGCCAGCGGCGTGACCACGCGGGCTGCGCGCGCGCCGCCCTCGCCAGGCCCGCACCTCATGAGGCCATCCGGCCGGGCCTCGTGGAAGAAAGCGCAGTCCACCTCGCCCAGCTGCCCCATGGGCCGCACCGTGCGCAGGCTGCGCAGGCAGGCGGCGGCGCCGGGCTGGAAGGTGACTGTGGAGGACTTGGCGGCGGGCAGGATGTGGCGCCGCGCCAGCCCATCCCTGCGCCGCTCAAACAGCTCCAACACGCACAGCGGGGCGCCGCACTCGGGGTCGGAGTAGGTGGTCAGGCGCTCCACCTGGCAGGCAGGGCAGGCGTGGCAGGGCCGGGCGGGTGTACAGCAGCAACGAGGATCCGGAGAGTGTCGTACTCTCATCACTGCCACCGCACTTCCGTCCTGCCAGACCAGACCAAGGCAGGGCAAGGCATGCAGTGCAGCAGCACCAGGCGCAGCCTGCGGGGCAGATGAGCGGCCAGCAGGCTCACCAGGCCATCCCAGCGAGTGCACTCGCCAAAGCGCGCGTACAGCTCGCGCCGCGCCTGGCGGTACTGTACCGCCTTCTCGCCACGCGGGCACCGCGAGTCCAGCCGCTCCCGCGACACAGCCAGCGCCGGCACCCAGCTCAGGGGCATCTCCGGCGGGGCAGGCAGGGCCCCGCCAGCCGCTGCCGCCGCCGCCGCCGCCGCGCCATGGCCCTGAGGCTCGGCAGATGATGGCGGTCGAGGGCCAGCAGCGCCAGGGCCCGCCCCTCCTGCCATTCCTGCTGCTCCTGCTGCTCCTGCTGCCAATGCTGCTCCCGACAACGGCCCTGCCCAGGCGCCGGCGGGCAGGTGGCGCTCCAGCTGGGCAGACGAGCGCTGCACCATGGCCGAGCCATCGGGGGACAGGTAGGCAAGGGAGGAGTCGACTGTGTCCCGTGTGGGCGGCCAGCCGCCGCCCAGCCTGGGCGTGCCGTTGCGGCCGGCGGCCAGCAGCTGCAGCCCCACGCCCGCCTTGCCGTGCGCGGTGCCGGGGCGGTCGGCGCCGGCGCCGGCGCTGCCGCCGGCGGCCGCTGCGGCCAGGGAGGCGGCCGAGACGGCGGCCGCGCCGCCAACCAGGGAGAAGTTGCGTGGGGAGAGGCCTTTGGCCGAAAATATGCTGGGCAGGCGGCCGAGCATCTGGGAGGGGCGCCTGCTGGGGAAGCGCTGCGGCGCCGCATCGCCAGACACCTTGCTGCTGTGGGAGACTAGGGTGCAGGCCTCCAGGTGCTGCTCCTGCAGGGCAGGCGGGCGGCGGTGCGAGGGTTGGAGCCGGGGGCTGGGGCTGCACACGCCCAACAGGCTGGAAAGCAAGCTTGTGCGCTTCCAGTGGCGGCCGGTGCTCCGGCTGCTCTCGGGCCATGCCAGAGCCCGCCCACCTCCTTGCTCAGGAGCAGGGGCAGCCAGCAGTTGGGGTTGCCAAACGTCCAGTCCATCACAGCAGGCTCCGCCAGGCCGTGCGGGACGGCAGGGGCAGAGGCCGCGCCCAGGGGGCCCGCCACGTCGGACGCCGCGCTGCCCCTGCCGCCGCTGCCATCGACGCCGCCGCCGCCATCTCCGCCGGTGCTGCTGCTGCTGCACTGCAGGTTGCACCAGAAGTTGGTGGCATCCCAGGCAAACTCGATGCCGGTGCAGGGGGCTGCCTCCACGCTGTGCTGGCAGCCGGTGCATGGGTCGAGCAGCAGCGGCTGGCACACGTCGCGCCGCCCGGGCTTGACCAGCACAAAGGCATGCACATAAAGCTTGGGGCGGCGGGGGGCGGGAGCTGCTGGCGCCCGCGGCGCAGGCGCCTGCTGCGCAGCCGACGTCCCAGCCTCCCCGCCTGCCTCGGGTGCTGCAGCGGCGGCTGGCGCAGCCGCCTCTGCAGGCGCCGCCACTGCCGGGGGTGTCTTGCTGGCGCCTGTGGCGGGGCGGGTGCCCGGAGTTGCGGTCGCCGCCCTGCTGCTGGCGGCCCTGCTGGCGGCAGAGCTCCTGCCAGACCGCTGAGCGCCGGCACCGCGCGCGTCCCCGGGAGCAGCAGCAGGGGCGGGGCCGCCAGCCTGCAGCTGCCCAGCGGCGTCCTCGGGCGCAGCGGCTGCCGGGGGCTCGGGCTCTGGCTCTGGATCCGCCTCGAAGCTGGCCTCTGGCTCGGGTAGCTGCCCATAGGCGGGCTCCTCCAGGCCGTGCTCTCTGATCCAGGGGCATGGGGTGCGCGACTGGTCCCCCATGGCCACCTGCACGGCAGCCAGCCACGCAGGGGTGGAGGCACGGGAGCGGGGCTGTGGGGAGTGGCACACAGCCCAGGCGTTTAGGGAACTGCCGTCCCTCTGGCCAGCGGCTGGCCGCACGCGGGCGCCGCGCCTTGCCTGCTTGGGGACGTAGCCCACCACCACCCACGCGCTGTACCCCGCCCCCAGCAGCAGCGAGCAGGCCAGGGTGGCCAGGTCGAAGCTGTCGCCGGCCTGCAGCAAGGAGGCGGCAGCAGCTGTTGGGATGCGGGCCGGCGCTCATGAGCTCTCGCTGGCCAGGTGCTGGTGCAGGTGCATGGGGGCATGGGTATGTGCAGGTGCAGGTGCAGCCTCTCCCCCTCCCACACCCCCGCCTGCCTGCCACTCCATCAGGCTCCAGGGCGACACCAGGTGGCTGGGGGGCCGGCTGGGCTGCTCCAGCGGCTCGCAGGTGAAGAACTCAGCCACAAACTGCGGGCGGGAGGGTGTGGTGCAGCGGCGGGAGGCGGGTGTGGGGAGGCAAGGGCGGGTGCACCAGGGGCAACAGACGTCCCAGGGAGGGCCCCGCGCATGGCCCAGCATTCCATGCAGCCTGAAGTGCGGCCCAGCACCTCAGCACACCAGCACACCAGCCACCACATCGCCCTGCCCCACGCCTGCCTGGCAGATGGCGTCGAGGTCCCGCAGCTCGGTGTGTGGGAGGCGTGTGGGGCGCAGCGTGGCGCACACCACCTTGTCCACCCCGCACTCGTTGGGGAGCACCAGGCAGGGCGGCAGGCGCCCCGCCGCCGCCGGCTCGGCCAGCCACCGCTGACGGAAGGCGGCCGCGGCGGCCAGCAGCTGGCGCTCGCGCGGCGTGTGGCTGCTGAAGGGCGGCGGCAGCTTGCTGGCGATGAGGGTGGCGTGGCGGATGCGCTCCTGCTTGGGGCTGGCCCGCGCAGAGTCCTCCAGCGCCGCCTTGTCCTGCGCAAGCAGCAGCAGCAGCAGCAGCAGCGACATGGCTGCATGAGGTTAGACGCAACAGCCGCGAGCGCACCATAGGTGCTGGCCGCGCCCCGTCTGTCCAGCTGCAGGCACCAGCAGGCTGCGAGGCCCCCGGTGTCGCCCAGGTGCGGCGGGGCGGGGCGCGCCTTGACCGCCGCCAGCGGCACCAGCTGGGTGACGTCCCAGATCACGCTGCCCCGCTCAATCTGCTGCGGCTCCACGTTCAGCTTGTGCAGGGGGTGGCCGCTCTGCGGGGGAGGGGGCAGCTTGGCAGGGACGATTCGGTGGGGTTGATGAGAGGGGGTGGCCAGGTGCAGATCGGGCAACCAAAGGCATCCGCGGCTTGCCTGGCAGATGCAGAGCCTGCCGCTCGTGTCAAACAGCACGATGCGGCTGCGGTTGGGCAGCAGGCAGAACTCGGTCTCTGCCCACTCATACCTGCGGGCCGGCGGCAGGGGAGAGGGGCAGCGGTCTGCCCAGCGCACGCATGCCCCGCACTCTCCTGACCATGCCCTGCCAATCCACGCCCCTCTGCTGCTTGTGCCCCAGTGGGCTGGCTTGTGCCCCAGCCACCCCCCACCTGGTGCCCGCCGTCCTCTTCAGCCTCAGCAGGTGCGACACCTGCGCGCCCAGCGCGTCCCGCCCGCCATACATGTAGACGCCGCCCTCGCGGACGGTCAGAATGTGGCCGCCGCCGCGGGCAGCCGCCTTGCTGCGCCCCGCGATGGTCACGCCCTGCCACTCCTGCACAGGCAGGGGGCACACAGGCATGGGTCAGCCGGCCCAGCTGGGCGTGCCACCCAGCCGCTGGCAAGCCGCCGCCCGGCGAGGAGCGTCAGGCGGCTCTGGAAGCCAGCGGCGCCTGCCATGTGGCCACCAGCGCCGGGCCCCACCAAACTGCTGCCAGCACAACAAACCCAGGGGGCCCAGCTTGGAGGCGGGGGCCCAGGCGCGCGCCTGTGTGTCCAGGGTGTAGGTGAAGAGGTCATCCAGCACAAAGTGGCCCGTCCCGCCCATCACCCACAGCCGCCCGTCGTGCACGCAGGCGGCGGCGCCCTGGCGCGGCGAGGGCGCCGTGCCGAGCGCAGGCAGCTGCTCCCAGCGGAAGCTGTCGGTGCAGAAGGCCCAGAGGTCGTTGAGGCGCGCGCCGTTGGTGCGCCCCCCGAACACCAGCAGCCTGCCCTGGGCGTAGGCGGCGGTGCACTGCTCGCGGGGGCAGGGCGCGGCGGCGGCGTCGATCTTGGGGGCAAACCAGGTCCAGGAGGAAAGGTCGAGGAAGTGGAGCTCGGCCAGGCGCCGCCCGCCGGCCTCCTTGCGCCCGCCAAACAGCAGCAGGTGGCGCCCCGCGTCGTCCACCACCATGGCGTGGCCGTCCCGCGGGCAGGGGCGGTCGCCGCGCGTGGCCTGGCTGCGCCACTCCATTGTGTCCAGGTTGAGCACCAGCAGGCCCGACGTCTTGCGCCCCTCCCGCACCACCACGCCGCCCCACACGTACACGCTGCTCCCGTGCTGGCAGGCCGCGTAGCCGTGGCGGATCCAGCTGAAGCCTTCGGTGGGCTCGCCAGCGGCGGCCGCCGCCACCGCGTCGTCCAGCACCGCCTGCCCGGTTGTTTGGAAGAGGAGCGAGCCGTCACCGCGAGAGGGCGGGCAGCGCAGCCAAGCAGGTGGGAAGCCTGAAGCTGGGGCAAGCGTGCATCTCCCAGTGGCGGCCCTCTCAGCCGCCACCGGTACATGTTGCAGCGGTACATGTTGCAGCGGTACACGGCGCAGCGGTACACCTTGCAGCGCTTCACCTTGCAGCGGTACACGGTGCAGGGCCCAGACGCGATGCCCACCGGCCGGTTGCGCTCAATCTCCTCCAGCCGCTCGATCTCCTCCTCCTCCCTGCACCAAGCAGCAGGGCGGCACAGGGCAGGGGTGGGCATGAGAGTACCACCTGATGGCAGCGCATGCAGCCCAGCCAGCCCAGCGCACCGCAGGAATGCCAGGAACTTGGCCAGCCCATGCTCCCTCGCCTGCACAAGCAGCGGCAGCCACCTGAGCCACCTCACTTTGCACCACAGGGCAGGCAATGCGGCAGCCACCCCAGCCGTGATCCCGGCGGCTCCTCCTGCCGGGCCCAGCCAGCCACCAAAGCGCGCCAGCCGCCTGCTCGCCTGCTCATACTTGAGCGGCAGGCGGTTGGCCCTCAGGTTCCACTCCTTGAGCGTGCCGCTCAGGTGGCCAAAGGCGGTGGGCACCTTGTGCAGCTCGTTGTTCTGTGGGTGGAGGGAGGGGCGGCGCGCTTTCAGGCAGGTCAGATGCCGTGGCCTCGCCTGGGGAGCCGGGCGGCTGATGAATGATGCCCAGTAGAGGTGTGCAGCTGCCCTGCGGTCCGCCCCACCTGGCAGAAGAGGCGCTGCAGCGAGCGGGCCAGCGCCAGGCTGTGCGGCAGCGCCTGCAGGCGGCAGCTGGACACGTCGAGGTGGGTCAGCCCCGGGCAGCTGCCCAGGCTGTCTGGCAGCGTGGTGAGTGGGTTGTTGGACACGTCGAGCTGCAGCAGCGCGCGGCAGCACGTCACGCCCATGCCGTCGGGCAGGCTCCTGAGCTGGTTGGAGCTGAGGGACAGGCGGCGCAGGCCGTCGGGCAGGCCGGCCAGCGCGCCCTCGTCCACCACCGCAATCTGGTTGCTGTCCAAGTCGAGGTGCTCCAGGTGGGGCAGCTGCGCCAGCAGCGGCAGGCTGGCGAGGCGGTTGTACTTGAGGCGCAGCACGCGGAGGTGCGGGAAGGCGGCCAGCGACCGCGGCAGCGCATCGTCGCCCAGCTCGTTGCTGCTGAGGTCCAGCTCCGTGATGCGCGTCCCAGTGGCCGCCAGCCCCTGCTCCAGCGCATCCTCCAGCGCTGCCGCCCCCAGGTAGCTGCAGGTGGGCGGAAGGTGGGGGCGGAAGGGGAGAGAGCCGGGGAGTGGGGTCGGGCGCGGGAGCGGCGGCGGCGGTTGCCAGACCGACAGGCTAGCAGGCGTGCCTGAGGTTGAGTTTGCCGGTGTCCCGAGCTTCCACCAGTCTCGACGACAGCTCCGACAAGTCCATTTTCAGCAAAACTGGTGGGCAATTCGTCACATGTGCCTCTCTCGGACTCCCCAGTCACTGCCCCGGGGTGTTATTTGGGTTGCCTAGACTCTGGAAGAGAGCGAATAGTGGCCTTGGACACCGCCGCGCTTTCACCACCCGGTACAGTGAAACCTGGCGCAGTACAGACCTGAAGGTGCAGTCTGCGACCAATTTGAGAGCACCTTTCACATTCACCTGCAGAGTCACAGTCTGGGTCTCAATTGACCGTTGACGAGCAGCGGCCGACACTCAGTCTCTGTGTTCAAGAGTCACCCGCATCGCGCGCTCGCTGGGACGGCTTTCAACGCAAACATCTGATGCGGGGCGCCTCTCTGGTGCGATGCGAGCTTCTGCGGGGCGCTTTCGGTGGGGGCGCGCGGGAGCTCCTCCAACTCACCCCGTGTTTTGGTTGTTGCAGGCCCTGGCGCTGCTGGCGCTGGGCCTGCTGGTCGCGGAGACCAGCGCCATCAGGCTGTTCGACCACAAGCACCCCATGAAGCGGGCTGTGGGGGCGGCGGCGGCGGGGGCGGGACGGCAAGTATGTGAGTTGCAGGCGGCGCAGGCCTGCTCTGCACACATGAACACGTGCCCACTACCTCCATTGTCACTCACACAAAGCCGCTGGCACCACAGCGTGGCCCGCTACCAGGCACCGCCTCGAGCATGCCGCACTCTGCCGCCGCCGCCGCCGCCGCCAGCCCGACGCCGGTCCGGCTCATGTGGACACGCCCCGCCCGGTACCCACCCTCCGCGCTCCGCCCCACTCTTTGCCGCAGAAGCGCAAGGAGATCGACGTGGAGCTGTTGGGTCGGGCCCACTTTGACCCCAACTATGCTCACGAGGATGAGCTGACGCATGACGACCTGGGGCTGGAGGACCTGGCAGACCCCACAGACACAGTGATAGAGAACCGGCTGCGCCAGGCACGCCGCCGCCGCCGGCCCTGCGACAGGGGTCTGGGCTGTGGGCAGGCAGCTGAGCGCTTGGCAGGCAGCAGGGCCAAGCATGATCCACGCTGCTCTGCCATGATCCACCGGCGCAGCCCCTGAGCGTCCTGCCCCGCCCCGCCTCCCCCTGCAGCTCTTCCCCACCATCGACGCCAACCACGACGGCATGATCAGCAGCGACGAGCTGCAGCGCCACCTGTTCCTCAACGGCATCGCCACCAGCCACCGCCGCGCCGACGCCGAGTTTGCAGACACCGACACCAACAAGGACGGCAAGGTCACGCCGGCAGAGTACCTGGCCAGCCTGCTGGATGACGACGACGAGGAGACGAAGAAGAAGAAGGCGGAGGTGGAGGCGGGGGCCTTCCCCTCGCCGCTGGACTACAGCTCCTACATCGACGTCACGCGCGCCGCCCTCGCCTACGCCGACGTCGACCACGACGGCGGGCTGAGCAAGGACGAGTTCTGGAGCTTCCTCAACCCCGAAGGCGCGCGGCTGCCACTCCTGATTCTGCTGCCGTGTTGCCTTGTGTGCACTTGTGTACTGCATGCTGGTGCTGAGGCTGCTGCACCCCCCCGCCCTGACGCCCTGCAGAGGACAACAACATCAACCTGAAGCTGCACCGCCTGCGCCAGGACGTGTTTGAGCACCTGGCAGACCACACCAACGAGCACCAGCCGCCCCGCCTGGCCCTCACATTCGACCAGTTCTATAACAACTTCTGGTCGCAGGTGAAGCTGGCTGCTGCTGCTGGTGCAGGGGCAGCTGGATGCGGTGGCGCATGGCATGCGTGAGCAATGCTCCAGAGACAGCGTTTGAAGCTGCCTGGGCCTGCTGTCTTGCTTGCCGCCCATTGGCGTCTGCGCGCACCCCCTGGCACAGTTCACTGTGTGGGAGACGCACGCGGCGGAGGACTGGTCGGAGGAGAAGGAGAAGCAGAATGCGCAGCGCAAGTTTGTGCTGCTGGACACCAACTCTGACAACCTGCTGACGCCAGAGGCAAGCCGCTGCTCAGGATGGTAGCTGGTTGGCCGGCGCACGGTGCAGCAGGCCTGCTTGCTGTGCCTGCTGCGCCCGGCCGCTCAGGAGCACCCTATGCCCCCGGCTGTGTGCTTGCCCGCAGGAGATGCTGCCGGCGTTTGCCGACCTGCACCCCACGGAAAGCCGCTACGCACGCATGGTGAGCGACGCGTGCCCCTTGCCCCGCTTCTTCCAGTGCCACTGCTGCCTCGCCTGGCGCTGATCACCAAGTGCCACACGCATGTGTTTGCCCCCGGCTGCAGCAAGCGGAGCACATGATGGACATGGCGGAGTGCAAGGACGACAGGCTGACGCTGGAGCAGATGCTCAAGGTGCCGCACGCCTTCTACGGTGAGCGGCGGCGCAGGTGTCACGTGGTGCAGGCGTGTCGGGTCCAGATTTCCGTATGAGCGCGGTGTAGCCCCGTTCATGCATGCATGCCATCGCACCACGAACGCCTGCCTGCCTGTCTGCCTTCCTGCAGGTGTGGTGCAGGATGAGGGCGACCACAGCGAGTTGTGAGCTGGCTCCATACACGCTCCCAAGAATCGCGCAGCTCAAATGACTGCCTTCATTTCGTTCGTTCTTGCTGCTCTCCTCAACATTGCTCGCTTGCTCCCCCGCTCTGCCCTGTTGTTGACTTTTTGCTGCTACATTTGGTTGCATTTGAGCGAGTGTGACTTGTGACTAGCCCCTCATCGCCACAGCACAGCACAGCACACAGCACAGCACAGCACAGCACAGCATGCATCACCAGGGGCAGCGTGATGGCGGCGCCTCTGCACGCGCTGGGGACGTGCCGCTGCCTGCTCCGCCTCTTCCCGTGCTGTCTCTGCCGCGCCCCCGGCCCCAGGCGCCCCTGCTGCTGCCGGTGCCGCGGGAGAGCAGGCCCGGGGGCCCTCCACGGCCCCCACCGCCGCCCTCCCCGCCGTGCCTGTACCGCTGCCGCTCCTCCGCCGACCAAGACATGTACTCGCCCTCCTCTGCTGCCCCGCCGCTGCTGCTGGGCGCCGCCTCCTGGAAGCTGGCATGCTCCGGGTTGGCTCCCGCCTCCAGCAGCAACTCCTCGATGGCGGCGTGGCGCCGCCGCCGCGCCACAGCCAGCGCCGTCTCGCGCCGCCCGTCCCGCTGCTCCAGCACGCCCGGCAGGGAGGCCAGGAAGAGCGCCACGCTCTCGTAGCCCTGGGCGGGGAGCGGAGCGGCAGGCGCAGGGCAGCGGAGCGGGCGTCACAGCTGGATGCGCGGGCCTTCTGTCAGCCCACGCTTCACGGGGCCTGCTGGGCGTGCGCCATGCCACCAGTGTACTGGATGGTCGGCCCAGGCATGGGCCCCATCCGGCGCCAGCCGCTCACCTTCCAGGCCGCTATGTGCACGGGGTAGCCCCCCGTCTGCGAGTCCTTGACCCATGCCAGCTTGGGGTCCACGCTCAGCAGCTCCAGCGCCTCGGTGGGGCTGCCGCCCCGCAGCAGCTCATTCACCCGCTGCCCACGCAGCCTGCACGGCCGGTGGCATGCATACAGGCCTCGCCACCGCAAAGCCAGCCGCCTGGGCATGCGCAGCGGCGCGGGGATGGCAAGGTGGGTGGTGCGGGAGTGGCGGCTAGCCGCGCCTCCGCAAGCCCGTGCCTGCACCCTCCTCCCCGCCCTCTCACCGCTTGTCTGCTAGTGCCTCGAGGTCGGCTGGCAGCGGCTGCCCAGACGCCACCAGGGCCTCCACCTCTCCCCGGCTCCGCTCCCAGTACTTGCCCCCCTCCATCTGGCAGGCATCGTAGATCGCATTCGCCCGCTGCTGCTGCTCCCGGGTCAGCCTGGCGGCGCCCCTGGCCGCGCCACCCTCTGGCGCTTCGCCTCCTTCCTCGCCGCCGCCGGGTGCCGCCGTGCTGACGGTCAGGTATCGCCCATCCCCCACCCCCACCGATTCGGTGTGCAGGCGGTGTCGGTTGGCGATGCCGTGCCACCACGCGCGCTCCCGCTTGCTCAGCGAGGCAGGGAACTCGAGGCGGGCAGCGCCGCCGCCAAGCACGCTGGCAAACCACCTCAGCAGCCGCTCAGGCTCTCGCTCCGGCACATAAATGATCCAGGCGGCCGGCGGGTCGCCCTCTTGCGCCTCTATGTCCAGCGGGCAGCTGGAGGTGTCCAATGCGGCAGTGGTGCCCTGGCGCAGCACCACGAGGCGCACCTGCGGAGCAGGTAGGCGGGCGGGCAGTCCTGAGCGGCGGTGGCAGGGGCAGCGAGCAGCGGGCTGCTGCTGCCCTGTCGATGCAATGCTGAGTAGGTACCTGCGACAGCTCTGGGCCAGCCCCCTCCAGCCCCCTGGGCTCAGTGTCGGCGGCATCTGCTGCGCCGCCCTCCCTCCGCCTGGAAGGCGGTATGTATCGCTGTGCTGCCTGTCGCATTCGTGCGGAATTCAGAACGCGGGCAACGATGAAGAGCTCCCTCTTCCCGGCAGGTTTTTTGCCAGCTGGAGTTGTCATGCCCGGCAACGTCTGATCGCATCTTTGTGGTCGCATAACTGATGTGAAAGTCCTAGGAGAGAGATCCGGACTCCACCGCCCTGCGCCCTTTCAACCTGTGCAAATCGCCTGGACCCCTGACTCTCTGGCTCCCGGAACACGCAGCCATGCAGGGAGGGGATGTAAGGGTGCAGGCACTAGTCTCGGTGGCGCCCGAGCAGGCAAGCTGCGCCGGGGTGGGCGGCAGGCGGGGCCCGCTTGCAACCGCCGGCACATCCGACCCCGCCGCTCTTTGCCCTGGCTCACCGCAGGTGGAGTTCCTGTTTGGCAAGCTGGGAACGCATGCCAGGATCGCAGGCGCCACGCTGCGGGTGAGGAGGCAATGAAATACATCCGCCATGCCGTGTGTCCGCTCGCTGCCGCGCCCCTCGAGGCTGCCAGCCGCCTCATGCGCTCATCCCCTGCGCCCCCAGCCAGCCAGCTCCCGCTTCCACCTCCCCTAATTTGCAGCTCAAGGACGCTTTTGAGAGCGACCGCTTCGGCCGCAAGGTGGTTGTGGAGGCGACCTCCCGCCGCATCGCCGCCTCCGCCATGTCGGCGCTCCTCTTCCAGCTGTGCCTGCTCTTCCGGGTGCCAACGCCGCTGGATGAGTCCAAGTGGCGCTACCTGGGGAATGTGGGGCTTCAGAAGGTGCGGCAGGAGGCTGCGTGGAGGGGTTTGGGTTTGGGGAGGGCCAGTTGATGGACCCTGGCGGCAGGGGTGCTTGGGCTCGCTGGCGGCACCCTTGCCTGCATCATCGGCGGATGTTGTATGTAAGCATGCCGCCTGGCGCCCATCTTTTTCCTCCCTGCCCCCATGCAGGGCGAGGTGCAGGGCCCTGTTGCGTACAAGTCCTTGGTCAGGTGGCGGGAGAAGGGTCAGCTGGACGAGGATGAGCTGCGGTGCCAGCACGAGGCGACGCGCTGCTGGGTGCCCCTCTGGTTTGTGGTGGCGGCGGGGGAGAAGGTTGCGCTGGAGGGTGAGTGGCTGCAGGGCGCCAGCACGGCAGGAGGCAGCGGCGGCGCCTGCCTGCCTGCAGGCCGCCGACCGTCGCGCTTGCACGCGCCCGCGCTGCCTTCCCTCTGCTGGCCACCCGGCCATGCCCCCTGCCCCTGCCCCTGCCATGCAACTGCGCTCAGAGTGTGCTCCTGAGAGCGGCGACGATGTGTCCATGGAGGATGCTGAGCAGCTGGTGGCCGACCTCAACTCGCAGCGCAGCACGGGGGGCATGCTGCAGCCGCCCCGCGGCGACGGCCACCTGGCCGACTTCCCATGGCTGTCGGAGGAGCAGGCGGCGGAGCCCATGGACATCGAGCCGGGCGACGGCGGCGCGCCGCAGGGTGGGTGGCCGGCCGCAGGCGGCGCTGTGTCTGCGCTCGAACGCCTCGCGCCCTCGCCGCCGACGCCGGCGCCTGCTGCGCGCGTCCTGCAGAGGGGGCTCGCCTGTTTGTGGTGGTGGACACAAACGTGCTCATGTCCCACATCGACAGCGTGACCAAGACGCTGGAGGAGTATGGGGCAGCCGCCACGCAGGCCAGGTGGGGGCGTGGCGCCGCGCACTGCTGTTGCGCTGCTGGGTGGTTGGGCATGTCGCGCCTCCACCCCTGCTGCCCGCACCGTTCTCCCCCGGGTCCTCGCGGTCTATTGGCGGCACATGACGTTGCGGGAGCTCTGGGGGTGGGCGGACGTGTGGCTGTTGCTGGAAGAGCTGGCGCGCTCGTCCCATGCTCCTCCCCCTCCCTCCTGATGCAGCGGGGAGGGGAAGCCTGTCGTGGAGGTGCTGCTGCTGGTGCCCTGGATTGTGCTGTGGTGAGCTGCCTCTCCCTGGGCATGCCACGCAGCGCCTGCCCAGCTCAACCGCCCGCCGCACCCTCTCCTGCCTCAACCAACTGATGGGAGTTGCGCAATGCTGCGTGCGCTCTCCTGCGCCTCACACCGCGCCTCCACACTGCCCCCGGTGCAGCGAGCTGGACCTCCTCAAGGGCAGCAACCGCAGGGAGCAGGCGGGGTCGGCCCGCCGCGCGCTGCGCCGCCTGCACGCCCTGACCAGCATGCGCGACAGCTTTGTGAGGCTGCAGCCGGCCAAGGAGCACGCGCAGGTGGGCGGTGGGTGGGTGGACAGGTTGCGGGCCGTGGGGTGGGTGATGGAGGAGTGGAAGGGACCAGCCCCTGGACCTCACGCAGCGCCGTACACACACCACACTGACTCACGGTCACATCGCATTATTAGCTTAGCTTAACTATGTTGGTGCCGTCATATCACTGCCCTGCTGCGCTGTGCCGCGCTGTGCTGTGCAGGCTGTGCAGCGGGAGCCCATCCCAGGAGCATCACCACAGCTGCGGAATGATGACATGATCCTGCAGACGGTGCTCTTTTACAGAGCAAACATAGTACACGTGAGCGGGCAGATTGGGCTGGCAGGGGCCAGGGGAGATGCCATCACAGCCCCCTGCGCAGCCTTGAGTGCGCTCCTGTGCGCGGCGCTGCGGGCAGCCTCTTTGCGCCGCTTACACCTGTGCATGCTGTGCTGGAGAGCAGGGCCTGAGAGCGGCGGGGCGGCGGTCGGGCGCCTTCCTGCTGTCGAATGATAGCGGCCTCGCCGTGCGGGCCCAGGTGTGTGTGTGGGCCGCGGCCCGGCCCAGGTGCCCGCTGTGCATCTTGTGTGGCACTGTGTGCCGCCGCCTGCCCTTTGCCACTTTGCCGCTTCGCATGTGCCCGACCTCTGCTGTGCCACGCGCCACATGCGGGCGGCAGGCAGCAATGTGTGCTTTGCACGCTGCTGGCGGTGTGCAGGCCAACGGTGTGCGGTGCTTCACGGCGCTGGAGTTCCCGAGGGGTGCGGAGCAGCTGGCTCAGGTGCTGGGCCTGCGTGTGCCTTGCTGAGCAATGGATCTGCCACAGCCCTGCTTGAGTGACGGCTTGCATCGATCCCACGCTGTATTAGCTTGCGGGTCCAGGGCGGCGGCCTTAACAGCAAGCAGCTGCAGCAGCAGCCGGCGGCTGTTTGCTTCGCTTGATGGATGGGCATCCAGTGTGTGTGTGGGCGTGCTTCTTGCTGCAGGCGGTGCCGGAGGATGGTGATGCGGGGCCTGTCACCAGCGGCGGCACCGGGCAGCAACCGGGACTGGTGCCGCCGGGCAGCGGCCGCCATTCCCTCGACTCGCAGCCAGCGGGCGTCCTACCCGGGGCCTCCTCTGGCGGGAGCCTGCACCTGCAGGGCTCCGGCTCGCTGCCGCAACCTGCATCGCCAGCGCAGCAACCGCCTCTGCCTCATTCGCAGCCACCGCGTGCCGCCCACCTTGCGGCGGCAGCAGCGCCTCACCAGCAAGCGCAGGCGCAGCAGCTGACGGAGCAGATGCGCCAGCTGCAGATGGCAGGGCAGCAGGCTGCGGCGGCATCCCTGCAGCAGCAGCAGCAGGCTGCGGCGGCATTCCAACAGCAGCAGCAGGCCGCGGCAGCATTCCAGCAGCAGCAGCAGCAGGAGCAGGCTGCGGCGGCATTCCACCACCACCAGCAGCAGCAGCAGCAGCAGCAGGCTGCGGCGGCATTCCAGCAGCAGCAGCAGCAGCAGCAGCGTGTGCAGGCCACCACAGCGCAGCATCCTGCGGCCGTGCTAGGAGCGCTCCAAAAGGCTTTCATCGAGCGGGACGCTGAGCTGGGGATCATGGCAGGAGCGCTGGGAGTGCCTCTTGAGCAGCTGCTATCGGCTGTGGCTGCACACGTGGGCATGCCGCTGCAGCAGCTGGCGAGGGAGCGGCAGCAGGCGTTGGCGGGTGGGCCGGTCAGCCCCCAGCTGTTGCAGGCGGTGCGCCTGGTGGACCGCGCGCGAGGCGACCCACAGCTGGCAGCGACGCTGCTGCAGGCGCAGGCGCAGGCGCAGCACCTGGCAGAGCTGCAGCAGCGGGCGCTGGGCAGCCAGCAGGAAGCCCTTGCTCAGCTGGGCCCCAACCTGCAGGCTCTGGCGCTGCTGCAGGGCCAGCTGCAGGCTGCCACGGCCGGGCTGGGCAGCAACGGCGGCAGTGCCGGTGGCGGCGGGGGCTTGATGCCTGGCATGCAGGCGCAGCAGGGAGGCCCGCAGGTAGGGCCTGCAGCCGGCGGCGTACCGCGCAACACTAGCTTGATGGGGCCGGGTCAGCACCAGCCACCTCAGCACCTGCCACCTCAGCGCGGCCCGCCGCCACCGGCACTCGCCCGCGCCGGCCACCCCGCCGACCCGTCGCCGCAGCGGGGCGGGGCAGTGGCAGCGCTCTGGTGGGCACGCCGGCGGCTTGCTGCGGCAGCAGCGGCCGCCAATTTTTTGGAGGACCGGCGGCGGGGGGTGGAGGAGTTGTGGGCACCCTGGGTGATGCACCACCGGCAGGAGGAGCGGGGGGACAGGGGGCTGGAGACCGGCGAGGATCGAGAGGGGCTCCCTGGGGATGCGCGCAGCACGCTGAGGGCCATCTTCAAGCACAAAACATCTTCAACTTGGTGAGCTGGGCTGGGCTGGGCTGAGCAGGCTGGGCCGAGGAGGCTGGGCTGGCTTGAGCATGGTAGGGAGGGTTGATGGGGCTGGGGGTGGGCCTGCGGGATGACCACATCGCATCCCAAGCGTCGCACCGACGGGCCTGGGCCGCGGCGCTGCCGTGTGGTCACCCCCCCCCCGCAGGGGCTTGCTGGAGAAGGATCTGGTGGAGAAGGAGCTGACTCAGCTGGAGCGGTACCTGAAGGATAGCAGACCGGCGGAAGTGAATGGCGTCACTAAGGCCGTGCACGCGGTGCTGGCAGTGCTGCGCCAGTTCCACCACGCTGCCCTCAAGTCGCTGGGGGGTGAGGAAGAGGCGGCATGCATGGCGCCGGCGCTCTGCCACCGGACGCTGCATGCCGGCCGCTGCCGTCGCTTGCCTGCTGCCATGGTCGCTGCGCTGCTGGCAAGCGGTGCGAGCCGTCCATGTTGCCGCCCTGCCGCCCTGCAGGAGACCCAAAGCCTGGTGACAAGCCAGACCCGGCTACCATTGAGTTGTTTGTGAGCCTGGAGGAGGCGAGGGCGGCGGCGGAGCGGGGCATCCAGCGCTGCTCCCAGCTGCTGGATCGCCTCCAGCCGGCAGGCCGTGCCGATGCGGCGCTGCCCAGCCACCACTCGCTGGGGCAGCAGTGACCTGGCCTGGCTGCCTGCGCCGCTGGCCTGCCCCGCCTCATCCTTGGCCTGCTGGTTGCTGGCCACGCAACCATGCTCTCTTCTGGGTGTGCTACGCGGGCCCTCACCCCCACTTGCACTTCCAGCAACAGCAAAGTTACAAGTCGCTGGTGAAGGGGTGTAATGAACAGGTGGGCAGAAAGGCGACTGGCCGGAGCGACAGCAGTAAGCAACAGGAAGCAACGAGAAGCAACAAAGGCAGCAGGAAAGAGGGGAGGAGTGTACAGGAGGGCAGCTGGCGGGCAGGGGATTGATCATCGCGTGTTGCATGCGCCAGCGCCGGCACCGCGAGCGGGCGGCCCGCCAGCCAACAGCACAAGCCGCGGCCGGTCAGACGTTGTACGGCTTGAACAGATTGAAGCCATCCGCTGCGGTGCTCACCATCAGGCCCGTGATCTGCGGGGGGCGGCAGAGCAGGGACAGGTGTCAGCCTTGCTGGCTCTCATCCTCCACGCCGCCACACCCAGGGCACCCGCCTGCTCTCCCACACCCTCCTGCTCCCCCCCACCGCAGCGCACACCTGCGGGTGCCAGTGCATCTCCTTCATGTCGTGCTGCCCGCTGTGCACAAACAACAGCTGCGGCGGCAGGTTGTCGGGCGCCAGGGCATTGGTCTCCGGCGCCAGCGCAGCCTCCTCCTCTGCACCGGGAAGCCGGGCAGGCACGCAGGGCCGGCACGCAGGGTCAACGACGGCCGGGCGCTGGCATGGCCGGGCGCCGCACCAAACGTAGCACTCCCCGCCGCTCCTCGCAGCATGCAAGCCGCCCCGCCAAGCCCAGCGGCAGCGTACCCCCCAAGCAGCCTCCCCTGCCAGCTCAGCCCTCCAGCTCTGCCCCACCCCCCACCCCCTGCCACACAGACACCCACGCCACACAACCACAGGCAGCCGCGCCGCACACGCCACACCCCCGGCAGGCGCCCCCTCCCCGCCCACCCGGGTCCCGCTCCAGGGCCAGGTCCCACACCGCCAGCTGGTTGTCCGCGCCCGTGGTGGCCAGCATGGAGGCCTCGTGCGGGCACCACTCCACGCTGGTCACAGGCCCGCGGTGGTAGCACAGGTTGGCCACAGCGCCGCCCTCCCGCAGGGCTCGCAGGTCCCACACCCGCAGCGCGCCGTCGTCGCCGCCAGACGCCTGCGGGCGGGCGCGCGGGGGAGGCGGAGTGGGCGGCGGGGCCCACAGGTTGCGGCGGGAGGCTGCTGCATGCCTGAGTTGCCGTGCGCAGCCGGAGCCAGCCCTGCTCACGGCTCTTGCCAGCGGCGCGGCCTCGCTCTTCCCGCGACAAGCACGCCCTCCACGCGCCCCACACCTATACCAGACAAGCACGCCCTCCACGCGCCCCACACCTATACCAGACAAGCACACCCTCCACGCGCCCCACACCTACACCGCACTCGCCCCATGCACACTGCCGTAGAGCAGCAGCTCACCAGCATGTATGTCGTGGCGCGGTTCCAGGAGATGACGTTGACGTCGCTGTCGTGGGCCGCCACAGACAGCATCGACTTGCTCTGCGGGGCGCCAGGGGCGGGGCAGCTGGGAGGCCAGGCCAGGCACGCGGGACCGCGCAGGCGAGGCGCCGGGGCTGCACAAAGCAGGGCCGGCCAGCAGCCGCACCAGGGAGCAGCGGCGGCTGCTGCCCGCCACCTCCCCGCCTGCGTCTGCCACCCCCACCCCTCACCCCACCTGCTCCCGCGTGTCCCAGATGCGCACGGTCTTGTCCACCGAGGCGGAGGCAAACACCGTCTCCTCGGTGGGGCTCCACTGCAGGTCCTCAACAGACGACTCGTGGCCCCTGCGTGCATGCGGCACGGCGGCGTGGAGGCTGAGGCGTGGAGGGGAGCTGCAGGGGCGGCACCGCCGGCCGGCAGCTTGTCCTCGCTGGCGCGCAGGCGGCTGCGCGGCGCATGGCTGGGCAGCAGGCCGCCGCTCGCTCGCGCCTCACCTGTAGGCCGGTCCCACCACCCACTTGCCCGCCGGCGCCGGCTCCCACACATGTATCCTCGCCCGGCAGTCGCCCGACGCCAGCCGCCCAGACGCCACGGGCGACCAGTCAAGCGCGTACCCCTCTGCACACAGCAGGGGGTCAGCAGCGCGCGTGCGTGCAGGGCACCGGTGAGCGTGCGCAGCCTCCCTCCCACGCCCCAGGCACGCAGCAAGCTCCGACGCAGGCGAGCCGGTGCCCATACCAGCCAGGCACCCACACCCCGCGCCCACCCGCCCCTCGCTCACCCGAGCTGTGCGTGTGCACGTGCCGTGCATTCACGCGGTGCACCTTGCCCTGCGCCCCCGCCGCCGGTGCCGCCTCGTCCCGCAGCTCCCCCAGCTGCTCCCCCAGGTCCCACACCTGCACCTGCGCTGTGTCAGCCCAGGAGGCCGCCACGTGCGGCTGCTGCGGGCAGGAGCGCACGCGGTTGATGCCCCCCGTGTGCGCCACCTTGCGGATGTGCAGCTGCGCAGTCTCCGCCTCCTCCTCATCTACACAAGTGGCCATGCACGCATGCCGGGGCGGCGGCGGCGTGAAGCAGCAGCGCGCGGAGCGGGCGGCCGGTGGCTGGGCTGGCACCACCTTGAGCACCGCGGGGCGGCTACCCCGCCGCCTCCTGCCCCCGCCCCACCTGCATCCGACTCTGCATCAGACCCCTGAATCATGTCCTCATCGCTGTCGGAGTCGTCCCCCTTGTGCTGCCGCTCCCGCTGCTGCTGCTGCTGCTTCTGCCGCTCGGCAGCCGCCTTGCTCAGCCCCAGGCCGCTGACCTTCATCACAGCCAGGTAGTTGCTCTTGGCGCTGCCAGCCTGCGGAAGCGAGGGCGGCACAGCAGGGGGCGTGCACGCCTCAGCGGCAGCACCGCGGCTGCCCACGACGGCGCCAGCAAGCCAGCACAACAGCCATGCGCTGGCTGGCAGCAGCGGCGGCAGCTGCCGCTGGGGCATGCCGCATTCTTCACACACACACAAACACACACACACACACACACACACAACCACAACCACTCACGCAAGCGCATAAATACCACGCACACCATCGCAGCCACCCCAGCACCACAGCGCACCTGCGTGCCCGCCACCATGAAGAGCGTGTGCGGGAAGGCGGAGCGCGGCGCCCCCAGGTGGTCTCGCAGGATGTCAAACGACAGGCTGGGCCAGTCCAGGCTCATGCTGCTCAGGCAGTCGTAGGCGGTGGGGTCGTACTGCAGCGTCTCCCCCTCCTCCACCGCGTCGCCCGGCAGCCACACCTGCAGAGCGGCGAGGGCAAGGCAGCAGTGGGGGCAGGGCGCGAGCAGGGGCGGCTGGGGGACCGCCACACCAGTCCCGCTGCGCTGTGCAGCTCCTCCATGGCTGGCTGGGTGCCGCTGGCATGGTAATGCTGGCAATTGGTTTGCGCCAGCAGGGTACACCTCGCCGGCGCAGCGCGCTGGCTGCCGCCGGTCTGGCGGTGCCGGCCCCCGGACCCCCGACGCCTGCCAAGGGCCTCACCGCTGGCTTCTGGGTCGTGTCAACCACCTGCTGCGGCTGCAGGGAAAGGCAGCAGAAGCGCGCCGCCACTCAGCAAACCCGCTCCACCGAGACATGCATGCCTGCATGCGCCGCCCCCGCACAACAATCGAGCACTTCTGCACGTCTTGCACCTTGGGAGGTCGAGCGGGCGCCTTGCCCTTCTTGGCGCCGCCCTTCTTGCGCACCATGGCGGCGGCTCCTGCTCTCTGCTCTGCGTGTCGAGCGAGCGCAGTTTGCACAACAACTGGGCGCTCCTCTCTCTTGTATGTGAAGCAGCCCAGGTGGCAGCGGGGGCACGGCATGGCGCAGCAGGGGGGCGCCGTCATGCAGGTGGGCATCACAATTAGCCACCGGGGCATTCAGTGTGCCCCCTGCCCAACATTACAATGCCATTCATGCGGCAAGGGTGATGTAGCCGCCAAGTCACAGAAGACACAGGCGCTCCACCAAGGGAGCGCCGGGAGGCGCAGCAGCCCATTCACTCTCCTCCGGTCCCAGGCTTGAATTGTCCAATAGAATGATTGTTACAGGGGGGCATAATAGGCTCAGGAGACGCTATGCTGGGAGTCCCTGTCGCAGGGAAGGCCTCCCTCCCGATTTCGGCATTCTTGAATGGGAAAAAAAGGAGCCGGAGGCCAGCGATTTGGCTGGTGATAAGCGTACAGTGAGAGGGCCGATGGCGGGAGGTGGCCAATGCAGGAGGGCGCTGGAGCATGGGCCCACCAGGGTGCTTGGGCTGAGCCAGCGGATATGAAGTGCAGCAGCAGGTTGCTGCAAGGGCAAGGGGCGCCAGCGATGTAAGCGACTGGGCGTGCAAGCAGGACAAAAGAGCGGGGCGTGTAGCGGGTGTGTGTAAATGGCGGCGAGGCGCGAGGGCAGGTGTGCGAGCAGTGGGAGAAGGGTGAGAGGAGCATGCTGAAAGCGGCAGCTAGCGCGCAGGAAGGTGCCGCAGCGCTGGTCAGAGGGCTGCTCGCTTGCGGAGCAGCTGTGGTAAGGGGATCAGGCCAACCCCAGCGGCATGCCAGCTGCTGTGAGCGGCTGCCCTGGGGCGCCGCGCCACTGCCCTCCAGCAGCAGCAGCGGGAGTGGTAGGTACATCCGGGTCAGCCGTCTTGTGTGGCCATGCTCGCCACCGCCGCCAGCAGCTGCTGCATCTCGTGCTCGGCATCCATGCTGGCCCGTGACGCGTGTGGCGGCCCGGGTGGTGCAAAGCCGAGCGACAGGCCCATGCCGTGCGGCGCAAGGCCGGGGAAGGGCGCCTGCACGGGCGCCGCTGGGACGGGGGTCAGGTGCTGCGGCGCGATGCCGCCAGGCACCGGCGACGGAAGCTGCGAGGAGCTGGTCCTGCTGGCCCCTGGGAAGCCGTCGGAGGCTGCCGCCTGCAGCTGCTCATAGAAGCTGGACCCGCAGCTGCTCTGGTCCCACAGCGACCAGCTCAGCGCGGTGCTGCTTCCCGCCAGGCTGCCGGTGGTGCTCAGCTCGGGCGCTGGTGCGCGCTCGGCAGACGCGCAGGGCGTGGACGGCTGCGGCGACAGGCGGGCGGCAGGCACGCAGCACAATGACGGCCAGGTTCGGACAGGTAGGGCCAGCGGGCAGCGATCAAGCCATCCACGGCTACCGCTGGGTCACAGCTGCTGCGCTGGAGCTCTCCCCAGAGGGCAAGGCAGCGCATGCGCATGGGCAGTCGGGCCGCCAGCAGAGTTGGCTGGCACGCAGGCAGCGCCAGCAC